TCTTATTTTTTATTGCAGTTGTAAAGCTTGTTCATCTGTTTCCTATCCAGCGTGCTAAGATGTCTCCGCTGACCGATTTTTGCTCCTCTTTGCTTCGGTTCAATGGTAACTTTCCATGGAGGCCAAGCAAAATCACGCTTGCCATAATGCATTATGGAATTGTAGTCATATGGGGATCCCAAACTGTCGATACTGTAGCTATATTTGTTAAAGTTGTGTGCTTGGCCTAAAATAACAGGATCAGATTGAGTTCTTCATAAGAGAAAAACTTTCCAGATATCTAATAACTGAACCCACAGGCTATCATCTGCTTAATCGAAACTATAACAAAGTATAAAATGGTTGTGCATTAATAGGAAAGTGACCGTCAACTTCTGTCTGAAATCATACTCGTGATTAACAATCGGACTCTCACTTTGCTATCGTCCGATTGTGTTTATCATTCGCGTTATTAAAGACTCACTCAGTACTACTACTATTATTAAGCGACATCACTGCGATTGTAGGGGAACTCGAAGAGTCATTGTTGAATTTGTGCTGTTTTAGCAAACTAGTTGAGCCTCGAGACTCTTTCCTCATTTTTTTCAGCATTAATGTTCATTAGCTATTTTAGTACTGGATTAGTAAAAATTACAGTTAAAGTTGGTTCACGGCCACCGCAAAGCCACTTTTTGCATTGAAGGTGACGTTTTCAAGTCAACTTTGCTGTGACCTTTTAATTTTTACGATATGTCGCTCATGATCTGCGGCACTTGCATGAATCTTGATTACGATAACATAAAGCTGACCATACCCTTTTCAATATTATCCCAGTGAATAGTCACATACTTGTCACGATCAGGTCTACTTTGCTCGTGGTACATTCCTGCAACCATAGTTAGCCATATAAGTAAATTTATATTGGCTTTAAATCCAATCAGCACTTAAAGTGTAAACTTCCTGCGGGAAAACCAATCCATGGATGAATTGAGGAGGCAATGAATGGTCAGGTTCAAGAGGATGGACGAAGAAATGGCCAAAGGAATGGGAAGATGAATAAATGAATGGATTGATGGATGGGTGTAAAAATCAATTAAAATAGTGGCTGAGAGGAAGGCTTGAATAAGGAAGGTCAGTTTGCAATAAAACATTGCCGCTCTGAATTAGATTACCGAGAGCATGTCCAATCTCATGAACGGCTATGCCATGTGTGATGCAGCCAAAACCCAGTGAGATTTTTTGTTTTCCTCCCAAACGACCAACGCCTGTTGAGTAACATCTGAAAAGAGAGGGTAGGAAATATTTCATACGAAACCATAAACTTTGTCATATTACAGTGGTAACATTTCCAATAGTTGTTGTCGCCTTTTAATATTGATAATATTTTGGTAATATTGGTAAAGGGATCCCCTTACTCATCCTACTGTTTGCATACCAGCTAAAAGATATGGTTAGCGTACATCGTACAACCACCGAGTTCTGGTTGCACTTGGGAGGTTTGCTAAGCACTCAAGAAGCTAGAGTCGCACGCCAAACATTTCTATTATAATATTGAGACTTTCAAACATTTTCTGTTTCGTGTAGAAAGTTGCCGTGAAAAAAAAAATGCAAAACAAACTAACGTCAGCATTCAACTCACAGGCAAATGGATCGAGTGTATACGCCAAGAAAGCGCGCGCTTTCATAAAGCTTTCTCATAAAACTGGCTCGCCGGACCGGTCCGGCAATCCGTCATAGTTACTAATTATGATCCCAGTTATACATTCGGGCTGATCCAAGGGCAAAAAGCTTAAAGAAACGTGTCTGTATATGCTCAATAACTGCCATACTACTGATTTAAGAAGGAAATCTCTAAAATTCTTACCCTTTTCCGACAAGGAACTCAATATAGTCCCTTTCGTATCTTCTTTCTTTAAAACGAATGCAAGTAAATTCTTCCCATTCTCTTATTGCGCTGTGAATAATTGCTCTCCTTATTGGCCTGACTGAAATGAAAAACATTCAGAGGATTTTCTATTTTAATTGTATTATTCTGTCAGTTTGCGCTAGTGGAATTAATGTATGTTGAATAATTCCCTGAGGTGACCGTCATCATTCGTTATCGGAGGCGCTCTCTAGTATGAACATACATGTTATGAAAAAAGACAAATATTGAGAGAAAAAATTCCCTTGATTCAGTCTTGAGAAAGTATCAGTACCTGTCAGAATATGGAAATGAAAGAAGAAAATGGTTATGCAGTGTGATAAAATTCCACTTACTAGTATCGATGGTGTAATAAACGATTCCTCTCGGCCACAGCCTATAATTGCTGTTCGATAATCCGCGAGAGCTAAGACCGCCATTGGGGCCTAAGCCTTTCTTTACTGCTTCCATCTGTTCTTTTGTGAGCAGTATGTCGCCTTCGAACATTTCATACTGATCGGAGGCATCTGAAGTAAAGAAATGAGGAGAGGAATTGGAAACCATTGACTTCAACAAAAATTTAAGCGTGTACACTATAGTAATCCATCGACTAAAGAACTTAACTCAAGATTTTGGTAAGATGGAGTTGAAACTATTTGAAGCAATAAATTTTTTTTAATATATGATAAGGACAGGCTGTCACATGAACACGATATTGTTAAGATCTAGAAAAGGTGTAAGATATCCTGTGAAATTCAAAGAAAGATGGCTTCAGGATAGTCCAATGCAAAATTCATTTGTCTTCACCACGAGAAAACGTCTAACGTAGGAAATGTGGAATAGAACTTAGTATGGTATAACTTTCACAGTAACACTTTACACGTGTGATGATCTTCCACTTAAACACAGGGAAAACACAGGGAAGCACTCTTAGGCATATAAGACAACCCTACTTACCTCTTTTTTCTACAGAGTACTCTAAGTCTTGTGCCAATGAAGAAGCCACAAAGAGCAAAGTAAGATGCACGAGCAACATATTGATGCAGGGTGAAGATTCCATCCTGACTGCTTCTTTTTATAGTCGTCGATTACTTTTCTTGTTAATTAGGTACATCCAGCTAACTAAATTTTTCTTTTTTCCGCAGTGCAGGTGTCGAATGATTGAGCACGAACTTTTAATTGAGGTAAATAGCTAGTTCAACTTCACGGCCCGATCAAAATTGTGGCGTCCTTTGAGAATTTATGAGCCGCTGTCAGTTGATCAAACGAGGGAGACATGAATTGATGAGAAAGGTCATTTGTACCTAAAGTACTAAATAAGTTGTTCTAGATCTCTGAATTCAAACAAATTTCTTTGCTCATTTGGCTAGAATATATTAGATCTATTTCTCTCGTTAAAATGTCCTATCAAAACGTAATAAAACAAACCTTGTTTGACTGAAAGATATGAATTTAAAAATTATTTATGAATTGAGCCGTGAGATTGACAAAATCGCCGAAATTATTGAGGATGTCCAGAAGAAATAGAGAAACAATCTCTTCCTATAAAAAGTTGTGCAACTTCCGAATTGGAGGTTTTGTTTCCTTTCCTTAGAGAAATTTTCAACAGCTCTATCTTAGCAAGGTACAAAAGTGAGATCGGTGCAAATTTGTCTCCATCGATCGCTTAAAAGAGTAACTGTTTTGCGAAAAATCTAGAAAGAAATGACGAGTTAAACCTAACTGAAAAATGAGAAAAATGTTGAATTAACGTAAAGATTTGAAAGAGATGGAAATAAAATTTCTGAAGAATCTTGAATACATATATTTAAATCAAATTAAGTGTTAAGCTAACTGAATAGGTTGACACCTTTAGAAGAAGAGCGGCTGGATTTATACAGTTGAGATCACATATCTTTCATTTGGCAAAGGTTAATTAATGTTTCACTGGAATATGCACATATGATTACTTATAAAATATAAATTTCATCCGTACTTTTCAAAAAGGATCTCTTTATAGACTTTCGACGCCACCAGTTGAACAAACGATACATACATTTATGTGCGCAAAAACCGTTTATTCCAAATGACCGTGGTAAAGTGCTGACTCTTTTTCAACAAATATTTTTGTTCGACTGTAAAAATTATATTGCTACTCTTGCGACACTATGTCACATTAGAAAATTGCCACCGAAAAGTGGACAAAAGAAACTTTAAAAGTAAGCCACTAGTGTTGCAGCTATCATCCGTTTCTAAGTTGTTTCAGCTAAGTTTGGTCTACTGGGTTAAAATGGTAATACGTAAAGTCATAAAAAATGATACTCTTGCGATGTATTAGGTGACAATGATGGTAAGTGCGCATTGCAACCACCAAATGTCAAAATTTCCATGGAATTCTGCTATGAATACAAACATGAGCCAACAACTAAGAACAAAATTAGAGGTTTGGCGTTTGCAATTTCAAGGTAGATTGGTGTCACATGAGGAAAAATTTGGTACGTCAGCATCCCTCGACTCTCGCATGGCCGGGTCTGATTTTCTGTTAACTGTTTTATAATTGAGATTTTGAAAAGACTTCTTGTGGAACTAAAACCTGTGGTTATCGTTTATATTTCCATTCACCTCTCACTGGACCATGATCCAATGCTTCTACCTACAACGAAAACAGTGCATGCTCAGTTCAAAGGAAATTTTGTAGTTTGGTTTAAGACAGATCGTGGAACGAATTCTTCACTGATGATACGATGATTTTGGCAAATTTTTTCTACACGCCTTCCTTTTAAGACTAGATATGACAATCATTTTCACCATCAGTGCTTATCGGATAACATAGGACAAAGATTTTGTGAGTTTTGGCTTTCCGGTCGGGATTGCAAACAGATTAGCAGGGAGCTAGCACATAAGTGCACCGTTGTATTTTGTGCGCTGTCACTCAACCCACTAAATAATGTGAGATGTAACAAGACAGTCATATTATGAAAACGAGGGTTTTACAATCAGCAAATGAATGAAGTTTCGGGGTCATAATGTGTTGGATATCTATTTGAAATGGGGGAAGCAGGGGTGAAATAAACTGACTTTTTCAACGAGTTACAAAAACGCTTTTCCAAAGCAGCAATAGGATATTCTTTGCTACCTTCCCATAAGTTTTATTTCTTATTGCAATCATAGAACAAATTCATTTGCTTGACATCCAACGCACTAAGATGAGATCGCTGACCGATGGATGCGCCATTCTTGGTTTTGATGGTAGTTTGCCATGGCCACTTTGCAAAGTCACGCTTCCCGTAGTGCATTATGGACCCATAGTCATAGGGAACGCCGAGGCTGTCGATAGTTCCGTGACTATATTTTCTGAAGTTGTGCTTCTGGTCTAAAAACAAATTAAATAAAATAAAATGATACAAAGACAACAACAGCAACGCTGGCCACAATCGAATGTGCTTGAAAAAGACGTTGACCTACTGGAAAACTCTGTCTGAAAGAGCTCTTTAAACTTAATCAACTCAGGATATTTACTGGATAGTAATGCAGGGAGGATCTAGTAAGGTTTCTACATTTATTTACGTGTCTGATTGCAAATGAGACGTTGTTTGGCAGCTAAGCCTGTCTTGTACGGTCGGTTTTGTGATCCAATACTTGCTTAAAGACCGAAACGTTTTTGGGTCTTGTTTCATCCGTCTAAGATAACCACTCAGTTTAAGTTTTTTTTAATGATTTGGATGCTCAAAACTGTCAATTGAAAAGTTTGATCAGAAATAGTCTAGAGCCTAGTCGCGAGTTTGTGGTGAATTTTTCGGTTTCGGCTGTGTCACGTGGTTGACGGACCGCGCTATTCAAATAAAGATATTCGAATCTTGGCTTGTAAACGTACAACTTCTGACACGGGTGAAGAGCACTAAATGGGTTCTTATGTACTTGGAGTCTCACCATCTTTAATATGGTCCCACACAATTTCCACATATTGATCCCGGTCAGGTCGACTTTGCTCATGCCAAAATCCTGTAATGAAGTCAAGTAAATGAATTGAATTTCTATATGAGGCACGCTTGAAATACCGTTTAAACTATAGGGACCAGATGAAATCGGTAGTTCAATAATCGTATGGTATCAATTTAATTTTTCCCTTTTTTAGTCCATTCTGTCCATTTGTAACTAGTAAAACAAGCTACCTCACGATCTTTTGAGTCATTTTAACGTTATGAAGAAACGCCTTAAAATAGAAGAAAGCCTTTAAAGTGATAAATTGCAATGATGGATATATTGAAGGAAATATGAAAAAGGGAAACGAAGATGGTAAACTGTGCGAAAGAAACTCGACGACTTCAGATGCTTAACACGAAAAAATTCAGGGTTTTTTACCGCCCAGTACCAAGAAATCAGATGAAAAGACTTGATTCAGTAATCTCTTATGAAGTTTCCGATCAAGGACCTTAGTGAAACAAAATTGTTCCCCTCTAAGATATATGTAAGGTTTGAAGGTTCCGTTTATCAGAAACAGTCCAGTAAATATTCAAGAAATTCTTGACATTGAGTGTTATGCATTATTAGGTAGAAAGGGTGGAGTATGTTATCAAAAACTGCATGTGAATAGTTGAACCACCGACCAAGAGCATGTCCAATCTCATGTACAGCTATGCCATGGTAGCCACAGCCAAAACCCAATGAAATTTGTTGCTTTCCTCCAGTCCTTCCAACATATGAATAACACCTAGAAAAGCGGCAGGAATGATGGAAAAGGAAGAACTGTAAAGATAACTTTAATAGCTTAGAATTTATTATTTTTTCAACACTGAGATGTGGCTGAGTCCTTTAAAATGTTTACGATTCCGTCTCCAGAACAGGCGTACAGGCACATTTAGATCCGAGAGGCATACCACGTTGTATAGTACAAGGAACATTAGTCAAACTCCGATTTGAAAAGCCCAAAAATGAATGAAAAAGGGGAACAAAAAAAGGAAAATTTTACAAGGCAGGCTGATCAAAGAGAGAATTTCGAAGCTTTGGGTGATTTAGTAATACAAGACACCAGCGTTCGTTTGCAAGAGGCCTCACCCTTTGTCAACAAAGAACTCTATGTAATCTCTCTGATTTGTCCTCGGAACAAACTTGATGCACGTCTTCTGCTGCCACTCTTTCATCGCGCTAAAAATTGCTCCTCTCTTGTACCACTTATCTGTATGTTTGACAATAACAAGTCAGTTTTTTACGAATCACAATGAATATTTGGTACATTTATTATAGTAGCTCCTTATTTTATGACAAAAGGATCCCAGCTGCCCTGCTATGACGTCAACTTGAGAAACAGAAGTTAGTTGTGCATTAATACATTAAAAAAAAAAAAAACACCTGCACTGTCAGCCAATGTATAAGGAACAATGCCGTTGGGCCATTTGCGGTATTTTGACAAACCACGTGTTCCAGCAGCGTTATTAGGATCCATTCCATTCTCGGCTGCTTGAATCTGCTCCTCCGTAAGCCACATATCTCCCTCAAAGACGCGAATTTTAGATGAGCCTAAGAAAAAGATAAACAACACCACAGAAAGAAGGATTGCAATGAAAAGTTCTTCGACAAAAGCTTCATGGAAGGGAATACTTTTATGTTAATTTTAAATTTCAGAAAACGAGCAATGATCGGGGAGCGAGTTGGGTCTCAAGTCACTCAAAACTTAAATCATAGAACTAAAAACTCGGTCAGCCGAACAATTTCTTCGGAGACATTTCTGATGAAATTCCAAAAACCTTCATTTTGTGAGATATTTATAGTATATAAGTATCAATTAAGTTTGATGATTAAAACTATCATTTTTCACTTTACAAGTAATATGAGAATTTTTCTTCCTCGAATCTAATCAATTCCATTTGAGCGATTAATTCCATTCGGTTGAAGATAAAAACTAAAAATGGTCAATTGATCATTAAATTATCAAGAAGAACAACAAACCTCTCTTTTCACGGTCATTGTGTTCCAAAGGTGATCCAAACGTCAACGTGCAAAAAGCAACCAGGAAACAAAATAATAAAATCATTTTGATGCAACCTTTCCAGAGAGATACGACGCGAGAAATCTCTGTGTGATTTAAGACTTGCTGGAAATTTGCTTTGATGTTTTTTTTTTATATGTTTACGAATCTAAACATGATCACTGTTGTTTATCGAATCTGGTCCAGCTTTACTAACATTTTTATGCCCAAATAAACAAAGGAAAAACACAGCAACAAAAAAACCGCCAGCAGCAAACAGTTGAGTAAATTCCCCTTAAAAATGCCACAAAAGCTAAAAAACAAACTAAGATAAAAATCCAGCTAGTTTTTTAATCAAGTAGGATCGACCATTCTCTTTGGATACAACAAAGCATTGGAGTAAAATTATAAAAAAATTAGACGCTCAGAGGAGGATGGCCTATACAAAATGTAGACGGAGTCTTAGCTGCATTATCCCAGTGCTTAATAGCGCAACAATGACTAGAGCTTTGGTTTAATTTTCAAACGCAACTGTTACAAAAAGTAACACTTTTGTTTACAAATTCTTAAAAAACACCTGCATAAGTGATTGAATACGGTGAACCATAAAATTTTTCGTGAAATTTTATTTACACCTAGATAGCACATATCGGCTCCGTTTGAACTCTACACGCACGTATGTTAGAAATTGTTTCCGTCAGCTTCCATCCTAGATCACGACGGAAAGATAATTTTAACAGACATTTTCCTGGTTCTGTTGGGGGATAAACATTAAATGCTAATTTGGAATTTTTAAGATATCATTATCGGAGTGACGAGGAAAAGAACTCTGACTGCGTTGAACAGTCAAACAATCGATGCTCAAATACCTACGAAGTCCTTCACCGACCTTCTCATTGCGAATTGAAGTATTTATTTGTATTTACTTATAATAGAATGTAATTGAGAAACTTTTCAGGGATCACTAATGATATTAACTTCTTCAATGGCCGTACATGTTCGCACAATCAAATCTCGGAGTTCAATGGGTTTTGGCAAGGCCTCAGCGGGTTATATCAGAAGCTCTTTATTTTGGAATAGCAGGTTTTACTGAAATTAAGGAGGCAGTACCCTCCTGCATAGAATGACGGTGGCAAAGGATTCGAACGTAAAGTAATTAAGGCCAAACGTAAATTGTGAAGCGATAATTTTACAGGAAGGCGAGCATGAATTGTGAGTTAATGAACCAGCGCGGGGCGTGATTTGCCTCCTGAAAGTTACCTCTTCTTTCATTTAGTGAAAACCTAAATATTTCTCCTGCAACCTTGTACACCAGAAGATAGATATGAAGTTTTCCCTTTTTAATACGAGACGCTTGAATTTTTCTAACATTCGTACGTGAAAAGGGATCAAGAACTCTCCGTTACTCCTCTCCGAAATGTAGGGGGCTCACCAAGGGTATTCAATCGTAAAGTGGGTCAGAATAGGAATCTGATTAAGAGAGACTTGAAACGAGTACATTTTCTTAATAAATCAATGCGTAGACATCATGAAGATTAGTGATACTCCGACAATAGTCTGAATTTGGCGCGAAAATATTCGCAGACAATCTGTTCAACTTTCTTCGCGTCGGGACGTGTATGGATTTTCAAAATCGAGGAATATCCACAAGGTAAAAACAAGGGATGTTTATAAATTTTTAACTGAAGCGTTACTAATCACATGACGCGTTGACACCGATCAAGTGCACGCGAAAATGTTTTGAATAGAACATAAGGGTGGATAGAATCGGTACGGTACAGCCCAAAAAGCTAAGCATGCGCAAGAAGTGGCTCGAGAAGTTCTCACTCTGCATCGACAGAAATAAAAGACTTTTCGCTCTTTCTCGAACAAGTCTACAGATGATAACAATCTGTTACACTTCTGAGAAAGGGAGGGGCTGTAAAGGACCTTCAGAAAGAGAAAATGAAGCTGAGAGATAGAATCCCGCGTTTAAGGTAATCTTAAGGCTATTTTGGGGCTTTATATATCCCATATCCCTGGAATGAAATTGCATGTGTCGCGCAGGTAGCAAGTGAGCAAATCAGCCATGCAGCTTAGGTTAATTTTACGTCCTCCTGAGATTTTTGATTCCAGGATTCTTGGGTTTAATGGAAACGAAAGGGGTTGACATTTGGAGTAAGGTATGTCCCTGTTTCTAATACCTTGTCTAAAGCCATCAGTAAAGCAGTAAACATCATGATGATCATCATCAGTTGAAGAAAAATGAGAATTGAATAAAAATTACGAATATTTTATTCTTATCAATTAGCTTTAACTCTGTATTTCTAAGATGAGTCAATTCTGTTGCGATCGAGTATTATCCGTTTACAAGCGTATATAGCATTCTCATTACTTACGTCCGAAATTGAGCATATATGAAAAAATTGAATCTAAAATAGATTATTAAATAAATCAAATGAAATGCTCCGCGAGGGGAATAAAAGTCGAAACGAATATCAACGATTTAACTTGCATTCGTCCATATGCACTTTTTTTATATCAATCATATAGCTTACAAAGTGAAAGTGGCTCTGGAGTTCGGGTAAATGTTTAAAGTTCCAGGCGCTGTAAAAACTATGGTGTTCAGTAGGTCATGAAAGCCGTGAAAAGCGTTGTAGAATTTTCAAAAACTAGCACTAACTTAATTTCTACATGGTGCTAAGATGGGTCCATAGATTCGCCGCAGAATGAACTTGAAAGTCTTTCTAAACTCTGGTATTCTGACGCCATACACGATGGGATTGATTGACGAATTGGAATAATGAAGAAATTTATAAAAGATCGTCGCTGACCAATTATAGGGACACGTGGGGCAGTACACCACTACTATAAGTGTAATGAAAAATGGAGTCCAAGCAATCAGGAAGAACCCAATGACGAAGGCAATGGTTGTAGCAGTGCGAATTTCCCTCTTAAGGGAGCGCTTACTGGGGTTGTTGTTCATCCTGGTCATGGCAATTTTCCAAATGGCTGCATATGACACAATGATGACCGTCAATGGTAGCAGAAAGAAGACGACAAAGGTTAAAAGAACAAGGTCTGTTGTTTTGATGCAAGGGATCGTATGTTTGATGGAGGCTGCCAAGGCTGAAATAAACCAAACCAGGAACAAGGCAATGTAGTAGACGTACTTTTTGGTGTTGCGGTGTTTCACGGCCCAACCAACACAAAAATATCGCTCCATCGAAATAGCCATAAGATGCAGAATGGAGGAGATCCCTGCAAAATTATCCAGCGCTACATAGAGTTCATTCAAGGTTTTAAACCTCAAATCCATAGGCCGTAAGTCCGCGTAGTAGTTTAAAATGTACATCCACAAGGGAACTGACAGAGCACCCACCAAAATGTCTGCAAGTGCTAAGCCCAATACAAAGTAATTTGTCACAGTGCGGAGTTTGTCGTTGATGAAGAAAGCTGTTACTACCATGAAGTTGCCAAACACGGCAACGAGGGCAATGACGGTGTAAAAGAAGCACGCGAGAATGACTGACTCCTTTGAGGGGACGCCAAATCCTCCCCCTCCACCGCCCACTCCTGACGTGGGCTGTGAGGTGTTGAGATATAAAGTGAAATTCGTGGTCGAGTCTGTCATTGCTGTGTTCTCACCTAATTAAACGATAAAAACGTGTCAGCATATAGTTCTTTGTATGTAACTGTTTTAAATGAATTTGCACTTGTTGTTTCTTTCACCATGTTTAAGGGGATTTTCTAAATCAGTTCTAAAATCAGTCCAAGGGGAAAAGGGAAAAAGCAATTACATTTTTTCATTTTTACAGATTACATTTTTGGAAAAAATTCATGCGATGGGTCGTCTTTTTCCTGCGGATGGGAGGTAAAAAATTGATTCCCACAGTTTAACAGTAAATAATGAAATATAGTAAAGCCTGAAAAAGAAACAGGAAATTTCAAATATGTTAAAGTTCACAATGTTTTTTCACAAAGTTCACAATGAGTTCAATGAGGAAATTTCAGCTCACTTAAAAGCTGCGCCCATCCAGTATCTGGAATTCACGGAAGTTGCTGCGAGTAAACGGTAGATTTGCTGATTTGAGATAGCAAGAGAAAAGGTGAAACAGAATTGAGCTTACAAGAATAATGCATCGAAGCTACGACGGGCAGATCTGCCAGCGGTCCACGTCATCATATCGACCTTCGTTAGCATTATTTATTATATTTGATGTGACTAAACGATACTTACAAGATTTCAATACGGCCGATTAGGTACGAAACTTAGAAAAAGAATGCGGTATTTTTGAATATTCAATAGAACGGCACATCATGTTGATAAATGATGGAGAAAAATTCATGTGCGTTTGCAAACGACTTACCAATTGATACATCCCAGCGTGCGAGTGCGTCGTGCTTGTTGGCGATCGTTAAACATCATTTTTTTTTAAATAGCAACCCTAACTGAACTCACTTGGTATAAGAATAAAATCCAAAGGGTGTCTACTTAATCAGATAAAACCCAGCCGCTTTCTGGGAAGATTCTGTGCGCATAAAATTTTTGAAAGGAATAATTGATGAGAGGTACTTTCAGTGGGTCAAACAACCTTCATACTTGGCGAAACTTAATGGATCATCCAAAATTTAATATGTCCTATTGATCAGGTAGCCAATGAAAGCACTGTTGACAGTAGAAAGAGTAATTACTTTTTACACCTAATAACTGCTTAATTTGACGGAAAATGGAAATCGTAGTGAAGTGAGATTCTAATGACACTAGCCTAAACTATTCTAAAGTGAAAATGGAGAAAAAAAATTCAGTCTTAACACAGTACAACTCCTGAAATGTCAAATATTTTTCACAAAACTTCTTTTGGCTTCATGACAACCAGAAAGTATTTATTGAATGAATTTAATTACGCGTTAGAGTTAAATTTCATTTAGAAAGTAATAAATGCAGACAAACACGTATTTGAACATCTCCGAATTCTCATCTTCAATTATTTAGAGAGTAATCAAAGAAATTATACAGACATGCATGTCTTACAATCATACAATACATGTTGATGTCACGGACCAGAGAAAACCTGTCAAACATGAATATTAGACCCATTTGCAGAGAATAAAACCAGCCAGGTCAACAAACAAAACACTCTGCTAGTGTGTTTTAGGAATGTCGGACGCCATTAGAAGAACTCAGCTGCTTCACTGAAAAGCATTTTCTTCGTAATCCTTTCTTTGTTTCGCGCGGATTGAGGCGCTCTGATTAGTAATTAGCATGTAAGTTCAAAAACTTTTATTTTTACATAAATGGCGGCACATCTGACAAATTACTTCTGCAACCCATAAAAATCATGGTGTAGCACAATTCAAAATCAAACAGGGAACACAGAGTACAAATTCATTACCTTTCCAACTTAAGTTACATTGGTACCCGAGCAAAGGCCAACCTCGGTTACAGAAAGTGATACTTTTACTTCCAAGTTTCATTCAGTTTACTATGGAAAATATATTAAAATAAATATTTTTCACTACCTCGTCGTCTACTAGGATTAGTTTCGGTTTTGAAATCACTCATAGGTCTACCAAATGTCCACCGACGAATGAAACCTCAATGTGGTTCATCATAGATCATATCATTTTAAGCACGAGACTGGAAGCTTGCAGGTAAATATTTAATGTTCGATATATTTTCAAGAAAAAGGGTGTGTATTGCGCCAAACCTCTCAAACATAACAAAATATGGAAAAAAAAAACCACTATCCACATTCAGTAATCATTTGTAGATTAGATCTTCATTAGATCCAAAGACTAACATGCGCTTGAAGAAATCAAAACATATCTTACACGTTTCGAAGGAAAGGAATTACATCGAGTTTATGATGATTACGCAACTTTAAAACTGGACACACATGTTGTATGTTTAACAACAGAGAAATTCAACGAAATTCAAAGTGAAAAGCTATGGTCCTTTCCTTTAATTTTCGAGCCTGCGTATGATATCGTGTAAGAGAAATTGCTGTCAAACTAAAATGGAATCCCTTTATTCTATAGTGTACGTAAGTGCTAGTTGTAGAAATGCTATTTTTTTTCGCAGCGATCAGTTTTATTTCTTTGCTGAAATGCAGTGCCATTCTAATATTTGCAGTTTCTAGATTCATATCCGCTTAGGTATAATTTAAGTTCAAGTTTCATCCCTAATGTGGAATTGTTACTAATATTACAATGAGTTTTGCCTTTTGAATTAAATTTGACAGCCGGCTTATCGATATTTCGGATAGCTGTCTCAATTAAACGTAATCGTCCGGAGAAAATGAAAGTTTAACGATTCTTGCAAATATTAAAAAATGGTGGGTAGCGAAAAATATCACAACGGAAAAATCGAAGAACAGTTTCATTTTGTCTTAAATGCTCAGTTGGTTATGTTTTTTCTTTTACGCCGGGATATTTGTACGAAAGTGCGTCCTGAAATTAGATTTGAAGCTTGTGCGGAATGACACAAAAAGCCTTATTTCAAAAATGTTAAAACTCGTCTAAGTTCCTCTCTTTTAGTTTTACTGCAGTTCCTTTTTAACGCCTCACGTTTCCATGTTTAATCATTATTTCTCTTTAGTTATTTCTGTTGTCGATGGTTTAGAGTTGCTTCCAATTGACATCACTGCACTTGAAAGAAACAGGCAATTCAGAACTATGTTCATGGACGGAAAAAGGCCGGAAAGACCTTTTATTATTTTATTTCCTATCTCTATCAATACCCTCTACACGCGGTCTCACATAAATATTGCTTTTTGGGCGGCTCTAAAAATCCAATTAGAAAATTACATATCCTCCGCTCATATATCATCATGAAGCACTAAATTCCTACTGAAATCCAATCGTATTTGTTCGTCGGGCTACGCGAAGAAATGTTTCACATCACGTTTATTTACGCCTGCCTATGATTCTGTTTCATTGACGTTATGTCGAGAAACCATCATGGCGGCCAACAGAGTAACCGTTTTCGTTCAAACTTAAGCGATTAACAAATGTGCTTTTACCCTAACATATTTGGCCGAGTCAAGTTTTACAGTTGAGTACAATTAAGACACGGTTAAAATCTTAATTTTAAATCCTAATCGCAATAAAAAAGAACCTGGCTTGGTAGCACGTCAAGTTTGTGTTTTTGATGTAAACTTCGTTCCGTAAGATTAAGTTTCATGTATGTTTCATTATCAAATACACATCGCTGACAGAATCATCGAGTTCTCTGCGCGCCATAAACTAAAAGAGGAAGCTTGCCTTTTGAAGAATGAATACAAAAATCTGACGTGTAGTTCAAATCTTGTGAGCCCAGGCGCTAAAGTATGCAATAGTTGGTTTCCATTTTCATGAATACTCGTTTTCTAAAAGTAAAGTTGTCCACAGAAAAAGGAAAGGCGAGCAGATGTTGCGCAAAGTTCTCACCGATTGTGAATTTCTTTTGTGAATCAACTGATCGAAGTCTAATGTTATGAATATGACAAACAAACCCTCACAACAACCAAGGAATGCCTTATTGTTTTAATAACAAAAAAAAGATTGTTAAAAAGACCGCTCTTTATACGCATTACAGCCTGACCTTGCCATGAAGTTCCAGTTTTTTTAAAGCTATTGCATTATAATCTTTCCGGACTTTGAGTGTCATCCGAATTGCACACTAAGAATCCATCTATCAGATTTTGGTAAAAAAAAAACTTCACCGCTGAGATATTAAGTGTAAACGATCACGCTTGCGTTATATTTACGATTAAAGAGAACTATATTTAGAATTGGCACTGCCATGAGAAAGTTAGTATAATATCGAAAATAAAAACGTGATCACTGCATTCCCTAGATTAGACAACGAATCCACATGCCTTGTCAACATACCTTCAAATATCTATCCAAAAGGAAAAATTTACTGACGCATGAAAGCGAACATTTCGCTTTAGGGTTTCGTCGAAGGAAAACCTTTCCTACTCTTCGATATTTCTCGACACAAGTAACTGGTTTCTGATCGCATTCTTTCTGTGGCGTTTTGCTTTCATAAAAGTAAATCTGTAGTGTTTGCTCTATCACAAGCAATCACAAAACATACGGTCGCAGCTTCCTCTCTGTAATACTGACGCTACACAAGAGAGCGAAAACTATTCATACTCACCAGGCTAATGTGAAATCAATGCAAGTTGAAAGCGATTCGCGTTACTCGTTCTATTGGTGGGTTATCTGTGGCTTCGTGTCTAGCTCGCTCAGAGTTTAGTGTTTGATACATCGCCGAAATAATCAAACGTTGACACTAAGTAGTAACAAACTATAGCATTTTTGTTTTGCATTTCAATGAATTTCTGTCAATCAAAGCTAATAATTGCTACCTTCAAAGTAAACGTTAATCTCGAGCCAATTGAAAATTTATGAGGAATGATTGACAGAAATCCACCGCAAGCAAAGTAACAATTGTTCGTAATATCTACGGGTCTGCGGACGTCTAGAAGATCCTTCGAACTTCAACAGTTTTTTAGTTCATAAATGCACTGTTCCGGAAATTACTCTGAGAATGAGATATTGCGGTTTAATAAAGTGTGCCCCATGGCATTGGTGAAAACGGCGACCAGAACCTGTTTTTAACAAACAAGCCTGACTCCGTATTTCTTTTATCTAGTGATCATTCCCTGTAGGTAATTTTAAAGCGAGAGTACGTTGAAGAGCTTTCGGATGTGAGCTTTTATTATGCCATAGGTAATAAAAAGAGATTTATCAATCAAAAGGAAACAGATTTATTCCTCTGCCGGTGAAAAGCACATGATTAAAAGTAGATTTCGTAAAAGCCCTTAAGATAAGTAACCATGGAAACTGATCGGCTCAGCTCTGAGTTCAAAGTGAAAAGAGGAAATCTAAACTCTCGCGCCGCAAGTCCCTGGTTGACATTATAACTGAATATTTATGGCATTATATCTGAATATTTAGATTTGAACTAACATTTGCATGCAATGAGTCAAAACTGTAAGGAACACGTTGCTATCCCAAAAACAAATTTAACTGAGGTTTTCCAGCCTAAGTTTTAAGGGATGCATTATTGTCAAAAAAAAACGTATATATATATATATACATATATATGTAGGAAGTCTGTGTATTGATTTTTCCGTTTTACAGTGCTCGATACGTAGGAGTAGAGCGATAGGGGAAAAAACAGAGAGCCTATACTTTTATCCCTTGCACAGGCTCCTAAGGATAAAAGTATAGTCTCTCTGTTCTTTTCCACCATCGCAACATATATATATATATATATATATATATATCATGATTTTTTTCTGCTAAAAATTGAACATTTCCGGCTCTTAAGAGGAACTGAAGATGATGATAGCCTTTTGCCTTTACGAAAGCCATACTTATCTACATGGTGTGTGCTTTCAGCACTCAGCCCTGACTTGGCCAAAAATAGACGATAATTACTGACGGGATATTAGTGAGATGCTTACGGCGAAAAAGTGCCCTATAGGTTTTCGAGTTTGAAGTGCACCATTTCGAAAAATAATCTCGTGTAATATAAAGGAATAACTGAAGTGAATTTTATGAGGTAAAAATTCCTCATAACAAGGCATGTGTATCTAAACCAAGCCGCGCGTGGAGGTGTTATAAAACAGAGTCTTTAATTATTCACTTTTATGCCTTCTGCTACCTGCAGGCCTAACAAGAAGAAAACCCTTTATAATGTCACTCCTTGTACATGTAATAAGTAACGTCTATTCACATGAAGTAGTTGTCGTGAAGATTGACTGGTACCTGTTAGTGAAGGCAAAATTCTTGAATTCTTGTTGTTTGAGGTCAGTAGTTGGTTAGTCAAAATATTCAACGTTATTGAAACATGGTGTGAGAGAATCTAGTAAAAATTTTCCCTTGCTCTTAACACGTGGCTTCTAAATGTTTGGCTACAAAGCTTGAGTTACCAAGGGGGGAACGGTTCATGAAACCGTCGAGCCTGATTTTGTTTCCTTCCTCTTTTCATGCTTTTCTTCATTTAATTACTATACTTATAGTTTACCCTCAATTACGATACACAGTCAAGTAGAAATTATTTCGCGCATGATTTGTTCTGAATACGCTGCTTGTAAACTGAATAATTTAAATTGGCCACCATCAAGAGTTTCCAACGGAAGGCTAACTCCCGACACTTGAACTAAACCAATTAACGCCATCAACGCAGTGGATAAAACCGAATAACTTTGTGTTATGGATAGTCATGAGGTTCGCTTCACTCTCGCAGATTCATATTTTTATTGCCTCGACCGCTTTATCATAAAGTATCAAGTATTTATCAATATTTTTGCTTCGTTTTAAGAATTTTAAAGGCTATCAAGTAGACGAACGAAAGAAATATAACCACCACTGTGAGATAATTTTTATCAAGGTTTACAGAACTTGCACTTAGTGGTGCTTTTATTTTTTCAATTAAAGTTTGTTACACTATTCGGCAAATGTAATGGTGGAGAGATCGGAGAGAAGAAAAGGGAACTCAATTAACACTTTCTTATCGCAGTGTTAAGCTACAGTTTGCGTGAAAACTGGCTTGGCTTCCCTTCACTCGATGCGAGTGCATCAGCTGTTCGTAACAGTCATGATTTCAATTTTCACTTCATAGATTCTTATATAATTTTTTTACATCTCCTTGCCAGCTTCCTTTTTCGCGTTAAATTACTGGAAAATTCTTAAACGCACAAGATTACGAGCGTAAAACAATCCCTTATAAATTAAATATACCCCTTGTCAAAATTCTTTGGAATTAGCGTTTCCTTTTGTGGATTCAGTGCCAATTACTACAATTCATTGTTTCGAGAAACACTGATAGAGAAGAACATCACATATCTTACAATTAGCACCATCACTGCTGGTAACTGTTATGTTGACTGATTTAAATCTTATTCGAAGATCAGTTCCATAGGAGCACCTTTTCATACTTTTTTTTTCTTGGAGTCATCTAGTTAACACGCATTCCCATTTCAATTCAAACCGATCGAAGTAAAATAGTGTAAATGATCGTTGATATTTTTTTTTCATTATGATCTGAGTTACTGATACCTGAAGGATGTGAAAAGCGCATGTTAACTGCTTATGGAAGAAGTGATAAAATTTTTGACTCGTGAAAAGAAAGACAGTAAAAAAAAGATTATCATTTGCGATTTCCCCTATTCTCCCTAAAATGCACTTTATATACGCTTGTAAGGTGGATGAAATCATGAAATGTATCTCAACTATACATTTTTCGTAATAGTCACGTTCATATTGACTTTGTTTTCCATTTCGGTTAGACGTCGCATTCGGACTTGCATAGGTTGTAAAACACATGTAAAAGCGGCAGTAGACACTTACCTTGAAATCACACTATTTTCTTTCCTTTTGAATTCCAAGAAAGTCGACTTGATGAGGCAAAAAACCATCATAAGGAACAAACTAATGTTATTATGACAAACTGGATTGTTTGACGGGCAGGTGCTGATTACTAACTGGCAGATCAATGTGATGTTGACACAATCACGATTCACTAACAATTGTGTGAAGACTGGCTAAGAATATTTAAATTTTTGGCTATCATAGGAACTTTTTTTTAGAGAAAACCTGTTTTCTTTCATGTTTTTAAATCAGAAGTTTCAATTTTACTCAAGAACCTGATTAAAAAATCATAAGAAAGCTTATTCTATTTCCAAACCCAATCCTCCTTTCATGTGAAACCAACAAAGTAGCGATAGAAATAACATTTAACATTAGGAAAGGCTCTCCTGTTTCTGCAGGTTTGATTAATAGGGGAAAATTCTACATCATCTACTTCAATTCCGACGAACTAATAAATAGTTTAAAATCACAAATATAATACTATTACCTTCGAGCAGATCTTTTCCACAGCAGGACTAAGAAAGATGACCTATATCATCCAAATTTCTTTGATATTCTCGCTGTTCGTTATTAATTCCTTAAAACTTCATCTATAAATCTGGTGGCGCAGAAACAGTGATTGTTAGTGAAAAGCAATAAATGAACAGATTAAATCGTGCCCGAGTAATTTAGCACTGTGTGAGTTTTGAATAAGCGTCATCTAAAGGAGTAACTCAATGTACACAGTGGCGCAAAGTAAATTTAAAAGAGAAAAAAACCCACACAAAGGAAAACAAAATAGAGTCATCTTATGCTTACTTTCGATTAAGTCTTAACCAATCACAAAATATCTCTTTAGTTTGTTTTCGGAAGGAAATTTCCCTAAGTGGAAAATTATGGGTGACCACTTAGTGACCTGCGAAACTGAATGTTGCGTTCAGGGCTTGGGGCTTGTCAGATGGTTTGTTTGGTCTGGCGATGGCTATTGAAAAAAAAAAAATTGCAAAATATTTGTAATTATTGTAATTTTGTCTATCATCGTATCTCGGCCACGGTTTTTCAATTCGGTGTCAAGCTAAGTTACAAAGACGAAAATTTAAAAGTCCTCCATATTTCGGCTACAATTCTTAAACGACTATCCGTCAATATTGTTTTTCATATTCAAAGATTTATGCAAAAGATAAATCTACGCTAAGCTGGAAATCTTTTAAGTCTTAACTTTTAAGGCTGGAAGATTAGAAGACAGCATTAAAGCTTATAGAATTTGTACCTGCAATGGTGCGCCTACAAGTCAACTAAATAACATTTAAAAAAGAGAACTATAGTGATCTGAGGTCCATAAATCGCCAGGCAACAGAGAAGGCATCCATCTCATTGTACTCACACCTTTACCGTCATTAGTATTTTAGAAAGATTTTAAATTTTGCCTGATACTGGCTTCGCGGCTGATTACAATACAGTATTCTGGCTTCATCTACGTGATAAGCACAATGTATTTTGAGTGGGTTCTCTCTCAATATGTTAATAAATCCAGGCTACAGAACTACCACAACTGAGCAAAGAAAGCTTCCCTTAAATCACCCTCATCTTTTTAGATCGGCAAAAAAAAATTTAATTATCTGCGGCCTTTAGAGTAAAATGCGATAAAGCTGACCAAGAAGCTTAATTTCAGACAAGGACTGCATGATTAAACCCGGCAAGTAAACTTGTCTTCACATGGAAACAAATGGAAATACGCAAGATAATCTTCGCTTGAAAAAAGATCGTTTGAGATGAAGGTAAAGTAATTTGCTTTCTACGGTGCAGTTCATATCCATAATAAGTAAGTCCAGTGGGTTAATATGTTAGTATCATTGTGGTGCCTTTGTTCCTTTCGATAGCGTCACTTAGTTTTCGTTTAGACTAAGTTCCGAAATACATCTGTGTTCGCTCGTGCGAGTTGCGCACATGGAGAGAGAGGAAGAGAGTGAGCAAAGATATATCACCCAGGATGGATATTACGTTTTGCTTCCGTGTGATTTACTCATTAATTTGTATTCTAGTATATAAACGAAAAAATATGGTTTCTTTCTCGGAAAGGAAATAAAAAAACGATAAAATGCGTACTAAAAGCTGCATGTTTCGTTTCTAAGAGTAAGCGTAGTGATTCGATAACCTGAGAATGACAGAACATACTCTATGTGGAAGCCATAACTACATGTAAAGATACCCCTGATACATAATAAGTTACGTAGTGCAACTTGTCAAGTCTTCTCCAAGAGTTACACTACATAAAAATTTATTCAACGCCTTAAATTTAAATCCAATCTTTCAATCGTCGAAAAGTTATAAATTAGGAATCTTGGAATAGCTTTCCATACTTCTAAAATTTAAACCTGGTTATCACTGGTTCACATTCAGCGCTAAGATGCGAAACACGAGGGACAGGACGATATCATAGTTCTGGTAAGCATCTTACCCGTGAGAAAACACCATTGAACACAGATTATATTCTCCTCTCAATTCCCAATATTTTGACTGGTGAAGACCTTTACTACATCTCGATTTTTTTTCACATTGACTGCATGACGAAATTTATTAACGATTTTGTTATGAGCGGTTAGTGATTTGTTGTGCTTGCAAGACTAAACAATTTTTTGCAATTTTCTGTAAGCAGAGGTACATTCCAACTCAAGAGAGGAAATATTTTCCCCTTTCACTACTTTCTGAGTAATATTTACGCACTGTAAGACCATTTCACTAAATTCTATTGAGCCTGAAAAATTGACAAATAGACACCCGGGTGACCTAAAGAACTGATTTGGTATATAAAAAATGTATCAAAAACACCATCCCTTTCTGGTATCCCTGTGGTGTAGGGCTGTCTGACGCACTGACAGGGTTCGAAAATCTCGAAAAGCCTCATAACATAAAATTCAGCCCCATATAAGCAAAAAGTGGAAAAGGAAATTTTTTGGCAATTATCTAAGATTACAGCGGCTCGCTGTGTCACAGGAGACTTTTTGAAACCAGCACGCTAAAAGCTAAAACAACGGCGATTAAAAATTCTCTCAGTTTTTTCAGCAAAGATTGAATTTCACCAATCATAGAAAACTCAGTGCCATTGATACACAGGTGACTGGAATTAGGGATATTTGAAATTTTCAGGCAAACAGTAAACACGCGAAAATATTTCGCAGCAATTGTTAAAAACCAGCTTAACGGCCTAGTTTCAGCCACGAATCTCTTCCAGCTCAGAAATAGAGCATCCGAAGAACTAATCGGAAGGTTGTAGGTTCAAATCATCTTAGGACCACTCATAGTTTTTTTCCCCGAGTATTTCCGGGTCATCCACTGAACAACATCTTTTTCAGTTGTATTTAATATAATAATCATCGGGGTTCTCTGAATGAGAGTTGATTTCGAGTTTACTCTTTTACTTTCGAGGTTATTTAGGTATAAAGAATCACAAGAAGTATTATTGACAATATTTCCCCCTTCACCTCATAACCTCTTTTCAACCATTTGTTCATTGCATGGGAAGACACATGATATTTCTAGCAAGTTAATTCGAAGGGAAATATGTAACACATTAAAGACAGCGAGCATGTCATCAATGGTTATGTAATGACAAAAACGACAGACAGCGAGCATGTCATCAATGGTTATGTAATGACAAAAACCAAATGCCGTAGATATACAAACACCAGTCGTGTGAAAATTATCTGAGGAATACTTCGACAGAATTAGAGGTTACCAACAATTTATCGCCTTGTCTTGTCATTCCTTCAATCGTATTTACTTCTCATGAGCAGTAAATACGATCCACTAGTTTTTGCTTGGTCTGATATACTTAGAGATTTGTCAACCTAAATCTATTTATGATTTCGACATGCTTAGACGATAAGTATGAGATGAGGAAATTCTTGGATGTAACGCTTGGTAAATCTAGATATTGAGGCTACGAAACTGTGAAGTGAGCATCTAAACAAGAGCTATCGCCATATGAATTATGGTAATTTTGATCAAAATTAACTGCTTTAGTATTCGTGCCTTCCGAATTGTGTCGCTTCCAAAACCCTAGCTATTGATCAGTCTTTTCAAATCAGTTCAGAAATGCATCACAATTTAAAGCAAAAGCATTTTGTAACTGAGAGAGTACGTCTTCATGACCAACCTGTCAATTCACACGTCGTTGTAGCCACTAGAAATCGAAATTGTCCTTCGTACCAGTGCACGCATTTCCGAAGTGTTCCTGTTGGGCTGACACTGTTCCTGTCATTTAAAATTAACTATTCCAGCAACAGAGAAAACCACACAGGCGTCGTATTACAAGCACACAACGGACAGGCTGCCAGGTAAGGGTTAAAGCTGAGGTTTATGGTCTGAAGTACACAAATTCTCTGAAATTAAGAAATTTGGATGTGAAAATGAGGAAATGTAACGTGGTCTGTCGTTCCTTACGTCTGTGCTCAGCTCGTTTCTCTCCTTCTTCTCATCTACGTTTTTAATGACAGTTTTTTCGCGTTCATCCTGGATGGAGTCTTAAAATGTGGGCCGAAACCAAGCGCGGTTGAGGGGAAACAATGGGCAAAACTTTCGAAAACATTTGAGCATAAAGCATTTTATATTCGATCGGTTTTAATACTTGGAATAAGACAACATCCAAGAGTTATTCGGGAAATTCGCTTCTTTGAATCGGCCAGCTGCATACTTCACACGCGCCATGGGCAGGCGTTGAGGAACACACAGAAGCCATAGAAACAATATGTAAAAAACATAGCTTCGCCAATCTGGCATATCCAAACGAAATAAAACCGAAATAAAAAAAACCTTAAGCATTTAGATATCTGTCGCACCTTTGTTATCGTTTCGTCCCAAAATTATTATAACTCTCAATGCTCAATATTGCATTTGCCATGTTCTTGGCTTCAATTTTGTTCATATGCTATGTTTTATCAACATTTTTCAGGAAGTTGGAAAGCAACAGCTGAAATATCATGTTTGTAGAGCAAATGATAATACCTTGATATTGATCAAGTTTATTACTTCCGTGAAACTCCATTTCATCAGAAATTACTTGATAAACCTTAAGTCATTTGACGGAACTCTTTGCCTCTCAGGCAAACAATTCGGGGGCGGATCGATTAATTTAAAACTAGAAATAAACGATCTTCTTTATAATCCCTTAACTGAATTGAATCTATGATTTCAAATTGAGCAGTAACTCCTCATCTTTAACAAAGAATCGACGGAATAACATGAACTAATTAATCTGTGTTTTGACTACTGTCCTCATATATTACAAGATGATATGACAACTGAAAATAATTGAAATTTCCTTTATCTTTTCGCTCATGAATTTGCCTTCAAACGTTTCCCTGCCATCAACTGCAGTTAGCATGACATCTCGTTTGTAGTAACGAAAGCATTTCAAGAAATCGTAACATTTAAGTCAAGCTTTGTCAATACTTACCCCTAATTTAATGAGGATGAGTGCCTTTGATGAAATAGAATACAAAATAGCCCTAGAAGTGGAAGAAATTAAATTCTAGTTTCGCTTTTCCAATCAGACCAATCAATTTTACCCTGGATATGCAAACAAATCAGCAATGAGTCTGACTGAGTAAGACTGTGCTAATAAACAAAAAATTAAATTCACGCGATTTGAGCATCCGAGTCAAAAGACTAAATTTGGAAGTGGTTTGAATCTTACGATTCCATCTTGAATAGAAGGAGGAATGGCAATAAATGACTCATTCACAAGTCTGTTCATCATCGAATTTCGCAGGTGAATGAATTGATCACATGTAACGGCTAGGAGTTGGCGTTTAATTTGAGTCACTTTCTAATACATAAACTCCGTCTCTATCCCAAATTATGGCACAAGAACAGTCCAGTAACTACACCTTTAGATTTCGGGAGATCAAAAGTCATAGCTACATCTCTAAGATTCTCAATCAAAATGCATTTAGTCTCAAAGGGAAGTGCATGGAATTATCTGAATATAACAACGGAAGCAAAAACAAAACTTTCCAAGGATTTTCAAAATAAGAAGGCCAGAAAGTATTAAATTAAAATGAAAAGAAAACAGATATGAAGATTTTCGGCTTCAATGTCCAAGACAACTGTGGGGTATAACCTTGAAAAATGTATATCAACCAAATAGCTTCCAGAATATCTCACGTGCAGACGTTAAGAAATGAAGACTAAGAATAAAGAATTATGACGTGACCCGAAGGTCAATATGATTCATCCAGCTTCTTTTTAGGTACCGGTTTGTTTGCCGACAAAATAGTAAAAGTGAACGTTAGGGTGAAGTATCCGCATTATTTAGGGATAAACTTCAAAGACTGCCGCCTCGAAGTCTGCGATTAAAAAGCACGCCTGCGCTAGCGCCTTGTTGGTTAGCCATTTAAGTAAACAGAGAAGTTTGAATAATATATTTCATATATTAGTTTATTCATTAAGGACGTAGCCCGGTTCAGAAGTCGTGATTCTGTCGTGTTGAACTTGATTGCAATTAAGTTCGACTGGAGCACGGCAGGAGCAAGACTCTGATTCAGTCGTTGGGCGATGTCTTCGTGGAAAATTAAGGATTTACTAAAGCCAAGTAAAACTTTATGGTCGTAATTCCCACGTATTCCCGCGGGAGTGCAATCTCACCAAAATACATTAACGTGACTAAAGTGCTTTATTTATTTTATTTGGCTCGGCAGGCGCACGACGTTTGAGTCGCTGTCGCGCCAGAGTCATGCAGCACGGCAGAGCTTTTCCGCGGACTTTTAAGTGCTTGCCGAACTTGATTAAAACGTTTTTAAAATTGAGACGCCGTGCTTCTGCCGTGCCTTTGTCAAACTTAATTCCTGGACGGTAGGAGCACGACAGCTGAACTGAGCCTTAATGATCGAAATGTTGCGCAGCTGTTTTTACACAAGTAGATCAATTCATTCTCTTATTCTGTCACATCTATAGCAGTATATTTTTAAGGGGGTAACCGTTGCTTGCTCAAAAAGAGCGCTGAAGTTTGTACGGACTCCCTTCAACTTCGAAACTAAAACAGTTTATTCAGGAGCCTCGTTGTTGTGATGACGCAAATGAAATGCTCGAAAATTTTCTTTTTCCAGAACTGGTTACGTTTTTACTTGGACAACAAATTTAGTTTTGCAGATGCATTTTATGATATGCTGGATGTGAATGAGATAAAAGCGAATTGCCGACAAAAATGGCAGTGTTAAAACACTGTAAAACATTCGAAAGGAACATGCTTGGTGATAAGAGCTGAAGTGGCATTGAACGATGTCCATGCAAATAAAGACCGCATTTGTTTCTAAGGCTGTAAATTGAAAAGTAATGCATGATAAACATATGACAAATATTGATGCACCCTTTGAGCAAGGTGTCATTTAGGACCTTTTTCTCTACACGATAGCAGGTTGGTATTTGAATAGGGGCACAAAAAGGATCAAGGAGATTTGTTGAATAAAATATCTACGTCAGCCGTTCACGTGCTGATAACCCTTGCGTCTATTTAGAATCAATTTTTATTGTTAAAATTGGAGATAAAAGAATCTCACCATGAAAATATTCCCTTTGGTTTCCTCCAGCATTACCCCATGCAGTGGGTAATATTTAACTGTCATAAAAAAGCATATTTTTATCGAAATAAAATGAGTTGTTTTTGTCCTTTTAAACCACAAATGACTGAAAACAGTTTAAAGTGTAATAGAACACCTCTAATCATTTTTTTTTAATTTTGTAATCACTGGTTATTTGACATTTTTCATTCAAACTAAAATGCTCTCGTTTAATTATTGAATATCAATGAGGATCATCTTATCTCCAGAAATGATGCAAATCAAAGTATGAAGATTAGCAATCCAAGATTGAATGAAAAATTGTATAAAATTCCATTAAAATGATAATTTAAAGCCGGTCTAGGTTAAAAAGTCATAAGAAATGTTTTTTTATGGCTAGGACAAGTTTAAAGCAGCACGAGAAAACGTACAAATGTAACGAGGCCACCAATTAGGAACAAAACGCAAACGATTAATTTAAACGACCTATTTTAACTTTAATTTGTTCAAGAGTTTTAGAATTGGAAGGAAAAAGTATTGTTTACCCGTAATTAGGGTTGAAAATTTTTGTCTTATCACGGAAACACTTGGAGAGTCTGCTGGTTCCAGAGCAAAATACTTTTCAAGGAAGTTACGGCTAGGTGACAAATTTACCTCACTTAACTAGATCCCCAAGGCTAAATTCAAAAGTTTGATCCCTTCTTGTGCATATCTACATCTAGGAGCCTTGGAAATTGAACGTAACAAAGCAATCTTTCAGTAATTAGGGTAAAGATAAAATTTACTTTGCACGGAAAAGGTTTGATCAACACGCTAGCAAAGTGACATATTGCTTAAACTCTTTGGAAGAATTACGTTTGCCCCTCTGTTGGCGTACTTAAATACTTTTGTAATAATAAGTAGCAACGTGATTGAATACTTCAAATTTTCCAACTCAAACTGCGACAAAATAGGGCCAAGATAAAATCGTCTTTCAAGAAACCATTCGGAAAGTCTAATCGCCGGTTAAGTGACAATTTTCCCTCTAAATTCGCTGCTGGAGTCATTTTCGCTCCTCTGTTGGCTCATTCTATACCCTCATAATAAATAGTTACAAGCTGAGATGTCAATTCAAACTGTGTCAATATACATTTATGCGGGCGACCCACACATTCGTTAACAAAAATATTCAATATTCATGAGTTTACCTTTTCCTATAAAACTCAATTAGGTATGTCAAAAGGTAGAACATTGGAGGAAAATTAACACACCTAAAGAGAGAGGAAAAAAAGAAGCAAAATCAACAAAGACAGACGGCGTGTTTCAAACACTTGGCAACCAAAGTTGACACCGTCTTAAAAGGGAACACGTAAAAAGTTGCCTGTTTGAGCAAACCTTACAAGCATTTGGTTCACTCTAGATCAGAGTAACAAGGGAAACGTCGATCGAAAAGATACAGAAAAATAAACGACACGAACAACGAAAATCACTGGTCAAAAGCGGCATCGAGAAGACAGGTAAACAAAAAGAACTCTAAATAAAACCTTATTGTAAAGTTAAGATATGCTATTCACGTCAAATTCCAGACCAAAGAAATAGGTTCAATACGATTTTTATTTCCAACCTTACTGTTTTCCTCATGTGACGATCCTTAATTCTGTCTGTTTGGTCTTGTTCGGCCTCTGTTCGATTCATTCCGAATAATTTAGGTAAACAAATCGGGCCTAGGACTTAGGGTCTCTTAATCTGACTAGGGAACTGCTTCCTGAGTAATTATTTGGTGAAAGCTATCTTTTCATCCCTAATATTTAAAGGCTCTACTCTCTCAAAGATGTCATATACCTTAATTAATATTTTTTTGCCCTCGTGCTCGGCCTTAATCTCAACACTACGTAGGAATTTACATTAAAATCAGTTCGGTGCTATTGCATCGACAATGTATAAAGAAGAGAGTTATGGCGGTAAAAAGCAGTAAGTTGAAATTACATTCTTAATACGATTGCCTAAAACTTTCCAATTCTCCAGTTGTTTCTAACATGCAATATCGGCTACATTTAACAACTGTAAACGTTCTGTCGGCAGTGCAAACTGGTACCTTTTTTATTAGCATCCCTTTGATAAGTCGGTCGTAATTCAAAAACCGCACTCAGAAAATTGTGCATATTAAAACTCGCGGAGGGCAATATTTTTCCTTCGACTTCAGTCCATAACTAGTTTTTCGTTCAGTACCCCATGGTTGAACAATTTTAGTCCAGTCTGAAAACTTGGTTCAACTGCCACAAGAACTAAATTTAACAGGTAAGAGCAAATCTTACTATGATCTGACAATGTCCATCGTAGTTTAACACTTTCTCAAAGATCACATCGATAAATCAACTCCTTGGCAAACGACATAATTTGTGCTTCTTACTATTGTTACAGTAAATCCATGATATCAAAAAGAAATTTTTATCCCAGGAAATATTTCTGTACATTGTCAACGCCAGAGTCAATTGAAGAACAAATCAGGAGCCTAAGACCTTGTGAAGTCGCCAAGTCCCTGAATTTGTCTAACCGTTTTTAAATATTTGCACCTAATGTGAATTCAAAATTTTTATTAAAAGTAAAACGCTGAATGGTATTGATGGCAGAATATATTTCAAAATATACAAATATGATATCAATAAATATCCATCTTCACTGAGCCTCCAGAACGGAATTATAGTGCAAGGTAAATTATATTTTTTCCCAGATTTCACGCCATGCCATGTGTCTGCGTCAGGATAATGAGTAAAGTCAAAATATATCTGCCTGTTTCGTAATCACATGAACGCTCCATCAGAAACTTAATCTCTTCAATAACTCGGCGTGGTAAAACAAACCGTGCAGAAATTGCTAAAATTGAATGGTTATTGCTGATCTTGCCGGTTTTTCAATTGTTAAACTGCCAAACTCACCAAAGCAAACACCACTTTACTTTTGAGGTATTTACAAACGTGGGCTGGGAAGTACTTTACCTGCTTCTATTTAAATTGCAGTAACATATTTTCTTCCCCGATCCTTTTTCAGGAACAAGGAAAATGGCTAACCAATCAAATCCAAGTATGGTTCGCCCCCCTCCCCTGATTGATAATGAAACTTTCAAAAGAGAGGCAGTTATCACATGGTGTGCCTTTTACGTCCAAATTGCTTTCCTTGCAGTCTTTGGCAATGGACTAGTTGTGGCATCCTTCATTCGGTACTCGCGACTACGTACGATAACAAATTACTTCGTGGCCAGCCTCGCTGTAGCAGATATCTTGGTCGGCCTCGTCTCCATACCCATATGGATCTCAATGCTACTTTATTCAACAGGAGGTAAAACGTTAGGGAACATTTACTACATCCTTGACATCTTTGCCGGTACCTGCTCCATTCTGCATCTCGTGACCATCAGCTTAGAGCGCTTCTTTGCTGTGGTTTATCCAATTCGTCGCCGAAACACCTCACCCAAAGTCTACTATATATTTTTGGTGGCCGTGTGGATTATTCCAGCCGCAGCATCTCTATCTGCACTGGAACTAAGGGAAATCAACCGCAAAGCTAATATGATGTTTCTTTTCATGGGATTCTTCGTAATTCCATTGTTGGTCATTCTGTTCACTTACGCAAAGATTTGGCTCACGGCCAGGAATCGAATACAGCCGGCTCGGGACAGTTCACGATCGATAAAACGTGACATGCGTATTGCAGTTACCATTGCGTTAGTTATTGGCTTTTTCGTAATTGCCTGGTTACCTTTCTTTACAGTTCAGTTACTAATAGTGTTTTGCGAGTCATGCAAACCCAGAATTTACAACACCGACCTGCTTTTGTTCGTAAAGTATATGCATTACAGCAATTCAGCGATCAATCCTATTGTCTACGCTGTGAAAATCCCAGAGTTCCGTCGAGCCTTCAAGCAGTTAGTTTGCTGCTGTGATAGCGGAACCCCATCCGTCACAGAAATTGTATCAGGAACAGACATGCGTGTCGCCTCACATACCTCTCACGAAAGAGCTTTGTCGCATTAAAAATATAAACATTTCAATACAAAGATTCCATATCCCAAGTTTGTGGTCAATTGGCAGGAATATAATTCAGATATTTTCAAAGATTGAGAAATACAACAATGAATATTTGAGTAGTTTCAGTTTAAAATAAATTTCCCATGAGCCAAGAAACTAAAAGAGCCCGCCACATCATCGATACATTTCTGCTCATTGAGATTCGTTCCGAACTCCATCGGATAATAATTAAGAGGTGATATCGTATGGGTGAAATTGCTGATAAGTAATGTAATGACCATGTTTACCATTCATTTATTGGAGAAAACTTCGTCATCTATTCTCAGCTTTTGAAAGAGCGGAAAAATTAACTTGCAGCTGTAAATCACCTCTCGAAAATTTTTTAAAGAACCTACTCGTTAAGCAGAAATGCTTTCTCACGGGAAAAATGATAAAAGATAAGCAAACGCAGCAGCGGAAAATGTTCGCTTGCAGGTTGATTTGAAAGGCTCCCTTGCTCTACCCATTGTGGAAAAATCAAGACCTCCATGAATACAATGAGGGGCGAACTTTGAAGGTAAAATTTTGCAAATGTAACTTCAAATGTTGTCAATAACACTAGTAAATCAATAAAATTAATTTTGAAATATTGCTACATATATGATAAGTTTAGTTTTGTTTTCAGCCGGACTGAGATTAGTCAGAAGCTCTTACATAGCTTTATATCCCTTCTTGTCAACTTTACTCTACCAGTTGTGCGAAATATCTTTAGCGCGAAGCATCATTCTGTCAGTGGTACGTATATTTACATTGTCAGTTGTTTGTATTACCATATCAATTGTATACAGTCACACTGTCAGTTTTAAACCTCACTCGGTCATTTGCATTTTAGGCACTTGTATTGTTAGTTGTAAACATCAGGCGGTTAGTTGTAAGCTCTCATCCAGTGCAGTCAGTTTTACGCACTTATTCGCTCAGTTGAAAGCATCACTCGCTGCCAGTTATATGCATTTAATCGGTCGGTTGAAAACATTTCTCTATCAGTTATACGGATTCTATTTGGAGCAACACTCGATCACCCAGTCGCTAGGCACTTGGTCTAACGAAGACCGTGCGCCATGTGCGTGCAGCCCTCTCACTACGATGAATAGTGAACTCCACACGATTTCACGCTTACTTCGCACGTAGACTTGATATGCATATGAAATTTTCCAGTAAAAGGCATGTGAAAAGCAGCTGAAGATATTTAAAAACTTTTATCACTTTCAAACGGTGTTTCCACATTCTTTCCTCTTTTCAACTGTTCTGTAAGCATGTATGTAAGAAGCTTGCTACCACGCGAGCGCTTGAGAGCCAGAAGGACGAATTGTGACTGTACAGGCCCAATACCTCCATCGGAGCGTTGGAGTAAGAAAACGCATGCTTCACACGCCGATCGTACGGTTCGTCATAGTTTCTCCCAGGAAATCAAGTACCTTATCGAGCGCTCATTGTCAGTATGGAGTTATCCTTTTTTAGAATAACCGGCGGTAGGAGTCCTTTTTGTACTTGGAAAAGACTATCGGACAAGGAATATTTATAAAAATATTTATTGGACTCATGATGGCGCATTAAAGCACTTTCTCATACTATTGTAAAACAAATCTGTTTTCCCAATGACAATATACTGTTTTTTATTATAGTTATCTCTATCCAAGAACTGAATGCATAATGAAGTATGGGGCTGTGCGGAAATTTTACCCCAGGAAATTACCTAAAGGAAAAGAAGTAAAGGAACAAGGAAATTTCTCGGCTTTACCGGCTACGGTTTATTCAAATTACTATCGCGATTATGTAAGAGCCGTTTTATTCTGCGACGTTTGATTGACAGCCCATTCATTCAAATCCATTACATTTGCATATTGTTTTCGTTTATGTGACCTTGTGTAATTTTAGCTAACTCGTGATAAACCTACCTATTTGCCAGTCACGAATGTAGTTTTGCCTATATATAAGAAGTATTTCCAGGTTGAAAGACAAAAGCGACAGGTACGCGCAGCGATCGATTGACTATTGAGAATGTCAGAAAAGGACAGTAATGGTGCTATGGTGGACAACAGTAAATCCTTCGCGAGACCTAAAGACAGCCGCGCTGCTCTGGTCGAGCCGATGGCGATAGAGGAGCACGAGGTAGTCGTCGAGGATGACCGAGAGAAATGGGGTAAAAAATTGGACTTCATGCTCTCGTGCGTTGGTTACGCGGTGGGGCTAGGCAATGTTTGGAGGTTTCCATACTTGTGCTACGAAAATGGTGGAGGTACGTGATATAGCGTACATTCTTTGCGTAAAGTGTTGATAAGTTACCCCGCACAATGTTTGAACTTGTTCCCTAACTCAAGGGTCTTCCTTTGATCACAGGCTGTTTGGCTTTCAGAACGTTTCACGTCGATTTCAAGCCGAAACGCTTAGATTAACAATTAACAAGGCTTACGATTTGAACGCGTCATTTTGTGGGATCCCTCTATTTCTTAGTCTAATTTGCATAAATGCCCAGTAGTGTGTTAGAAATAGCCGTTCGTCAGTTTGAGCGTTCTTTGCGACTAAAGGAACGAGCAGAATAAAAATGCAGCCGGATTTGCAATATACTTTGTCGTTGGATGATTCTCCTTTGTAAGCGAAAGTATCCTAAAATTCTACATCAATCTCTGCGCCGCTTCTACCGGTGATCTTTGTTTGTGTAAATTAAATAAACAGTAGGAACTCAGAAAGCCGGGACTCCACGGTAGTATCAATTTCAAAACCGAAATCGCTCACAGTTTTGTAGATCTGCTAGTAGTTTTAGCAGATCGATTTGCGTGTCATTTTCCTTGAGTTGTCAATTAATTATGCGCAAGGTTGGGCTGTTATCATCGAGACCAGTCTAGAAAAAAAAAGCATCAACATAGACGTAACTTTGATCATGTTATAATAGCTGAACGAATTCAGACAGCATGTAGCGACGTGTCGACATTTTCTCAGAGATGTTTTTTGTTTTCGGGTTTTCGCGCCCTTGGCGCATCACTAAGTCGACGTGGAAACAAATCTACAAATTCACAGTAGCGAGTAGCAAAACTGCTACGCGTGATTTGTTGATAAGTGGGCGTCTAGTGAACTTCAATAGCAATCTTTACATTGTAATTGTCTTTTGCCCATCAAAGGGTTACAAATTAATGCAACAGTCATTGAGACAATCAAGGTGATTCGAGAGACTTCCTTCCTCTTTCATTTTCTAATACCTCTCCCATTGATTGCCATAAGGCAGGCGTCTAACCCTCTTTCAGACAGTTGGAAGCAACTTGATACTTGAAACAAATTCGTGACTGCTGGGTCATCATCGAAACCCGAATAATTTCATAAGTTACTCGAAAACTGAAAGACATAAACTTGTTTAACTAATTAGTTTCTTCGCACGATGGCAAGGTCCCTGAACAAATTTTATGAACGATGGGCTCGAGCCACCCTCTCTCCTGCCTACCCCTCTCACTCTCACCGACTTGGTTTCATCGCCATCCTATAGCAAGCTACTTCATCCCCGCGAAAATTTACAGGGTAGTACGAAAGTTTTAAAAGCCATGGTAATACTGTAAGATAAAAGTTACATCAAGATGGATATTTATCGCCAAACTAAGTCAACAAAGAGGCGGAACTCTCAACTGTTTACAAGTGGACGGAAGCGTTACTCAGGTCCTTGTCACGCCCCCAGAAATCTACCAATCACAAATTTTTCTATTAAGAGATTGAATGATTTGCACACAACGAACAATCCATGATTGCAAACAGAAAGCAAAAAAAAAGAGAGAGACAGAAATCAAACTCTGCTGAAAAGAAATATTTGCAGCACCAAAAAATAGACATTGTGGAATTCATAAAATTTATTGTAACCTTGTGTGTCACACTTCTCTGAAATAAGAACAAAATATTGGTCAATGATACTGATACTCACCTATTATATTCGCGTATGACACGAGTCAGGTGTTATATTTCTCTTTAAGAAACCTGCTTGAACTGCACACCGGTGAATGCCTATGGCATCCGCTAAAATTCTTCAACTTGTTTCCCGATCTTTGTTAATGTATCTAGTGAGGAGTTCCGTTGGATTACTAGAAATGCCTCGAGACTGAAAATTTTCCTCTGCGATTGACCGCGAATTTGCAACCAGTTTGGCCGCGAGTTTTGATATTTTCAAGATGGTTTTTCCGTTTCATCCCGATTGAGATTGACCTTTAGGAGCTCAAAATGAAAATAAAAATTTTGTTTATCCGTCAACGTGTGTTCATGGGAATATGAATCACGCAAGAGGAGTGGTGAGCACAAGGGAAGGGTAAGAGTTGCTCGAGGCATTGCTCGAGGCGTAGGTCTTCATTTTCCACTTTCGAAATCGGGTAAGTTATTCAACAGCTCTTATTTCAACAGAGCTTGTGTTGGTCAAAAGACAATTCATGTCAAAAGACAATTCATTTAACATTCATGTCGCGCTGTCTTTCTCAAAGTTGTCAATTTGTTTCTGAGAAAACCGTTGCGTTGACAATGTTTACAAGCGATTGTCTCATCCGTCAGCTGTGTTCATAGAGATATTCATGAAGCTAGACTTGCCCGCGGCTACGCCTCGAGCAACTCCAAGCCTGGTTCTCATTTATGGGGAAAATCCCATTTTACTGTTTCCCGAAAATTCCAGAATTTGTCGATATATCGAGAGAACTACAGATTTCTCCCCACGCCATTTTTACTTTAAACTCGGGTTACTGTGTTTTTTGTCGCACTTTGTAATAACTGTTGCACTTCGAAGAAGCGTTCCCGACTTTCTCGATTTCTCATCAACCATCCCAGACAGTCGGAAATCCCTACGATTGCGAGTTTATCGGAAAATCTGGGACGGTTGCGAAAAATTTGGTGTTACGATTGAATTTGAGTTTATTAATATCGTAACGACATATATTGATGAAAAATCTAAAGATGCGAATTGGCCCTTTGGGGGAATCCATTTAGACTTTCGAATCTGAAGTGTTTCGAAAGTATCTTTGCTCGAGGTGTTAGAATCATCCTCTTTGTCGTGAAAATAGGCTTTCAATTGAACGCAGAGAAGGAATTTTTTAACGTCTTGCTTGGCTCAAAATTCGTTGGTTATAGCAACATAATATGTTGTTATAACCGACGGCAGTTTGCAGCCTTTCCCTACATCTAGGTAGTTCGGAAAGCCGCAAAACTCAAGAACAAAATTTATATTTCAAATCGGTAGGTAGCATATAGCAGCTTGCGGCCTTTCCCTACATCTAGGCAGTTCGAAAAGCCTCAAAACTCTAGAACAAAAATTTATCTTTCAAATCGGCACTCTTAATCCCCAAGGTATCGACGGGTGCTTTTCATTCAACTAATTTATTCTTATTTTCTCGCCACCATATTCTCACCGATAGCGTAGCTTCATTTTCTGCATATAAATATACACACAACCCACAATTCCTCCATTCGCTCTGAGGAAGGGCTAATGCTCGAAAAGTCAGCTTTGAAACCATTTACGATGGCCAATTTTTGTTATCAAATCAGTTGATAATACTAAATTACCCAGCTCACTCCCAGTATACAATCACCCCTCTACAGAAACACTTAAGACCGACTGTCTTTACCCGCTTCCTGATCAAGGCTGTGGGTTTTAACCCAGCATCTTAAGAAGCAAACTGAAGATATCGATTGGCAAGTGGTCGGCGCGCTGGGGTCTGTATCAAGACTACGTTCCGACACTCGCTAGGTCACTGTGACGTATTTAATTCACACAGTTCGTCTCCTCAGCACTTGAATAGATTGCAGACTTTTACTACATTACCACGAATACACTTTCGCAATAAATAAGATGATAATAATAATAATAATAATATAATAATAATAATAATAAATCAAATTTAGCAGTTGACATTCCACGAGATGGCTCTTCTTCTCTTCTGTTTCCTGGTCGAATTGGAATCTGGTTTTTGTGGAGGGAGTAAAACACCCTCGGAGCAAGGACGGGAACCAGCAACAATCTTAACCCACACGAGACACTAGGTCCGGGAATCGACCCGGGCCACAGTGTTGGGACGTGAGCGCTCTCACCACTGTACCTGCTACTGCGCCATCCCTGTTTCTCCTACTAGAACAAACACAAAGGCAGTATCAAGTAAGGAGCTCATTAACGAGTAATGGGCTCTAATTAGGAGTTAATCCCGCAGGGAAATGTTCTTATAGATTTAGCCTTTTTCCCAACTTAAAAGAAATTTTTCGTATTGATTTGACAGCAACTTTCTTGATACCATACTTTGTGATGCTTGCAATCAATGGGATCCCTTTGTTTTATATGGAACTGGCAATCGGTCAATACCTGAGTCTTGGAACTGTTGGAGCCTGGACAGCTCTCTGCCCTATGGCCAGAGGTGAGCCTTTTGGTTATACTGCAGTTAATATTTTTATTATAAAACTCGAAATAACTCAGGTAATTTCTTTACAGAGTTATTTAATATGCTCAAGATACAAAAATGTTCGAGCTTCCAATTGAAAGCAAAGATTAAGCTGAAAGACATTAAGTTAGATATAAAACTTAGACCATTTTGCTTGGGTTTTGTTCTCACAGGAATTGGATTTGGAATGATTATGGTTTCCTTTCTGGTGTCCATTTATTACAACATGATCATCGCCTGGTGCCTTCTCTACATGTTTCAGTCCTTCAGAAAAGACGTACCGTGGAGAACATGTGACAATTCATGGAACACTCCTCTTTGTCAGTAAGTAGGAAAGTAACACCAAGAATTAATATTGGTCTTTTCTGTTTGTTTGTTCTTATTGTTTTTCGTTTTTGTGGGTGTTTGATTTTCGTTGTCATGATTGATACCTGCCATAAAAAAGGGAGCTTGCATATCATACCGACTCAAATCGCTTGAGCAGTTTTTATCCGTGCTTTATTCTGGATAACCTATTCATCTAATTTTGAAAACTTGTTTGCCCATCTTTTGTTTTCCTCCTGACAGAGCAACGGGAAGAAATATCTCATTGAACTGCACAGGTCTAGGCCTCGCCGCTGACTGCAAGAGTACCAGCCCATCTGAAGAATTCTTTAAGTAAGAGAAATTACCCGAGTAAATTTTATATCTCATAGTTTCAAAGATCATCAGCACTTGCCCTGATGACGTATTCCGCTCAGGTTGTCGAAAAAAATTCGACGACACCGCAACAGAATTACAGGATTATGCTCACTTAGGGGTACATGCACGTTTAGGTTTGCGTATCGGCGGATTTGTGCTAAAAAAAATCTTTCAATAGTTCGGGGTCGAGAGAAATATAAAAAACCTTTCCGTCTACCTAAAAATCAGTTTTTAAAGGTATAACGCTCTCTTTGACAGGGAAAGAAGACTTTAGATAAAATCCAAACGCTGTAAATGAAAAGCACATCCCTCTAATCTGAGGGATCAAAATACTGTATTTTTATAACAGGTTTTCGGTATTCCGTTTCCTAGTTTTTTTTTCTCGGAATAAGGAGGTCATTCCCTTAAAATTCGAGGATGTTTTCCGCAGTCCATAGTATTTTCAAGGATGCCCGAAGGATTAGCTTTTTCTGAGATCCTGCTCCATATTCTAGCTCAAAAATAATTCGCCGATCAGTTCGAAGCAACATTCCCCCTTCCCCCACTCCTGACATTTGAACTTTTGAACATTGGCTCGTTCGAATTTCCGCCCTCCCTTTACCCCCCACTCAACCCGGGGCCGAAATTGCGCTCATATGCCCCGCCCAATATTTAATGACTCTTTGTGTGATCAACAAGTGTTGTACAACTTAGAAAAGTCACGAATCAGTTTTCGGTACTGCCGTTGGGTTTTCCACTTGTACGCATCTTTCTTCGATGTAAAAATTCTTCCTAAGCCATAATCTTACGAAATCAGACTCTTTACCTTTAAACGCCTCCATTAAATCACGTGTATATGCTGGAAGGACTTGAACCTTCCTACCCCACCCATGAAAAGCTCAAATTCCCCCCCTATCGGGCATAGACCACGGTCAAATGCCCGTGGGTTGCCCAAGGGGGATGTTAAAGATTCGAACTGATCTACCCATAACTCTTGTACAACATAAATATCAACATGACAAAGCAGAACATAAGAATTACCGTGATAAATTTTCCGGTACGGATTTGTTGACGACTTTTTTTTCCTTTTCCTTTTTTTTTTCCTTTTTCCTTTTTCCTCTAGCAATAACATCCTGAAGATATCCGAAGGCTTGTCTGACATCGGGGATGTGAGTTGGCAAATCGTCTTGTGTTTGATCCTTGCTTGGGTCATAATCTACCTTTGCCTTATAAAGGGAGTGATATCCTCTGGAAAAGTAAGTAAAAACTAAACATTGTTTGGGGAAAAAAAAGAAGAAAACGTGAAAAAAAGAGACAAAATTCAGCATGTTAGAAGCGTGACTATTGTTATCAGACATATGTTATTGTTAAGAACAGAGAAAATTGGCGGTAAAGTTAAAGGTCGGCCTGAAAAGCCGAAAGATAATGATTATTTACCGAAGTGGAAGTGAAAAACTACTTCTTACTAATCTAACGCGAGGGCCGTATTGGGCAAAATTCCGACCAAGAATAGACCAATGAAAACACTCGAATTTACTTAAAGACAACCTTAGACGCATGGATTGGTCTTTTCGGCTGTTCTTCTTCGAGTTTTATACTAATTGAAATACGTCCTAACCTGGATGAGGCATAATTTAGCTGTATCATGGAATGTATTACAATCTAAGAGCTAGAGAGATCAAATCGTGATTAGAGGCCTTACCTCGTAGCTGATCCTACTCAAAGAAATTTTAGCCCTAAGGTATTTCTGGTCTCGCGGAAATGATGTGTTAAGTTTCTTTGCTGCTTTGGTAAAGAACGAGTGGATGGAAAGGATATAAAAACATGCCTTCCTCGACTCCCCAGCTTTCAGTAGAAAGTTACCTTGATTTCATACCTTCCTCCTTATACCTGACTGGAGGTCAATTTTCTCCTCCAGGTTGTTTACTTTACAGCTACTTTTCCATATATTGTACTTTTTATCCTGATGATCCGCGGTGCCACTCTGGATGGTTCGTTACAAGGAGTAAAATTTTATCTCAACCCGGAAATCGGCAAGCTGAAGGATCCACAGGTATAACTTCAATTTGGACTGTTTCCGTCAATTTTCAAATTAAAAGATGGCTCGACGACTTTATCATTTGGCTTTTACTTGCTCGTCGTGTCTCACGATTTGAAAAATTATGCACTTTGCGAATTGTGTTTTAGGTTTGGGTTCGAGCTGCATCGCAGATCTTTTACTCCCTCGGAGTAGGATTTGGATCACTGATAACGTTTGGAAGCTACAACAGATTCAATAACAACTGTGAAAGGTAAGACTGTCACAGTTGTGGGAGATGTGATTGATGGTGGTTGTCTTTAATGAGAAAGGGCTAAAATGACAAATGGAAATCGCATCTTACTTTGAGACTGCTCAGTATTTCTTTCATGCAGTCACTCTATTCCGCATAAATCAGGTTTTTTTTTCAGTGGCATGCAAACATTCAGGCTCCACTAACGATTGTTGGAGTCGAGCGTCTTCAGACATACACTTAACATTTCTAACCAACAAAGTTAACTGTTTTTTGAGTATGGAATAGTGAAAATAGCAGTTGATGTCGTTCCTTCATCACATCCCTTATAAAAGATCATTATGTCACTAAACGTCCAAGTGGCGCAATTCTTTGATCAAGAGTTGCATGAAATGTACTCCACGATAAATGCGAAAGGGAAATGAAGCCCTGATTTTTCCTATTTTTTTTCTAATCCCACAGAAAGATAGAAACTCTTATCTCAATAACAACAACTACAAATACCTTCTCACGAAGCAAAAATTCGACCTTTATCGCATATTTTTCACATAAACATGATTTCTACTAAAGAAATAGACCATTGCCCACTCCCACCCACTCGTCTACAAGCTCCTTATATACTCTTTTGTTATTCACAGGGATGCTATCATCGTGAGCGTAATAAATTGCGGTACAAGTTTCTTCGCGGGATTTGTAGTGTTTAGTGTTTTAGGATTCATGGCTAAGACATTGGATGTTCCAGTGGGCGAAGTGGTTACATCAGGTAATCAGTCGTATATGCTACAAACGTCTATGACTGGGGTGGAACTTCGAATTCATCCTTTCCAAAAGCACGTACATTTTTTTTTCCAATTCTTCTGTAGTTGTATGCGGGTTCATTTAGCATGAATAAAAAAATCTAAAAAGCAAAACAGCCAGAATAAGCATGTAGTTAAGTATTCTCCAATCATCTCCGTTACCTCCCGACTTGATAGGGGTGTTTTCATGCCGGTATTAAAAAGAATCAACCAATCAGAAAACTGTATCCTAATCATTTCATAACCAAATTATAGTGTGATATACATATATTAGTGTTTTTATTGACATATATGTAGTTACAATTACTTAGTCTGATAGAAGTACCTTTTACGAATTTGTCACCAGGTCCCGGGCTTGCATTTGTGGGTTATCCAGAGGCCATTTCACAAATGCCTTTAAGCACATTATGGGCGATCTTGTTCTTTTTCATGTTGCTTACTCTTGGATTGGACAGTCAGGTAATGTATTTGCATGGTTGTTCAGTTGCTTGACAAAGAGATGAGTTTGGTAAACAGATACGTTTGAAAAGTAGTTACGTATGTAGGTAGGTAGCTGAGTACCCACGTGAGTGCGTGGTTAGTGCGTAGCTGGATAAGTTGATAGACGGGTGGTAGCCGGCATAGGTAGGGAGGTCGGTGGTTAGGTAGGTGGTAACTAGCTAGCTAGCTAGGAAGATTAGTTGATAAGCTTAAAGACAGATCTACCGTATTTACCTAAGGGGTTTTCAAGTTGGGTTCAACCTGCCTAATCACTAAATGTTACTGAGAGAAGAAGTTGATGAATCATCACGAGAAGCAAATCCTCCTGAACTCATTTTACTCTCTTGGTCCTACAGTTCGCTATGGTAGAGTGTGTCGTAACAGGTCTTTCAGATGAGTATCCAAAATACCTCAGAAAGTACAAGTGGCTATTCCTCATCGCCGTCTGCGTGTTAATGTTCCTGCTCGCCATACCCATGTGTGCTGAGGTAGGAATCGACTGTTTGCAATTGTAAAGTTGTGTGATCTACGCATGCAAATGCTGAAATTCCATAGTCATATACCTGTGTCTAAGGTAACACTTTTAGACGATGAAGCATCATTGTATCATTGTACCCTGAGAAATATATGTAACACCTTACGCGACTACATACCATTTCTACAATTTGAAAGAAGAAATCAAGTGGTTATTGCGTATGACACATCAGTGATGTACACACCACGACAGTAGTATAAGCATGGAAACCTGAGTTTTATTGCCTTATAGTCTCATCCATCTTTCCGTCCTGTTTACTGGTTCTTAGCTGTCGCTTTGTTTGCCTTTTGTCTATTTGTTTGTTTGTTTGTTTTGGCGGTTTATTCAACCTTCATCAACTAAAATGTCTATTTTTAGGGCGGCATGTACTTGTTCAACCTATTCGACGCTCAGTCAGGCGGCATCTCACTTCTTTTTATTGGATTTTGCGAGGCAGCTGTTATAGGCTGGGGAGTTGGTGAGTGTAGATCACAGAAGTTACTATTAACACTCCTGAGTATTATGCTGTATGTTATGGACCAAGCAATAGGATAGTAAGAATTGCGTTGGCATTAACTTCACTCACGTTTTGAAAGGGAAGATTGAATCAGTGAAGACGGGACACCAAAATACTTTTTTATCACATCGCGGTGATAGAGTGTTTTTTTTTTTTTTAAGTTTGCACTAATATTTTTTTAAAATTGATGGTCTACGTCATTGGCTCTCTTTGCAACATAAGGTATTTTAGGTGGAGATTGGAACAAACTGCAACCACCGGTAGAGCACCTGTTTTCACTGATTCCTTCTGAAAACTTAATGGGCAAGGCAACTCTTCTGGTTGCTGTCTGTACACGTAGCAATTTTTTTTATCATTTTGTTATTATCATTTTAGGCACGCAGACACTCGGTGACATGATTGAAAAGATGATTGGCAAGCGTCCTAATATCTTCTTCCTGATTTGCTGGAAATACATTTCGCCTCTTGCTACTCTGGTGCGGTATTCTTAGTTTGTTTGTTTCTTCCTTCATCATAAAATTTCCATGTTTGAGAATTTTGTCTATGGTTTTGGTCAATTTATGAATAGGATAAACCATGCTGTCGTGAGTTTATCTTAGTGTTATTTATTATTATTATTACTATTGTTATAATTATTCAGGTGATTATTCTGGCGAGTTTGATTCAATGGTCCGGCCTCTCTTACAACAACAAGCCTTACCCTGCAGGGGGTGAATTCTTGGGGTGGTTACTCGCACTTGCCTCAATGGTGATGATTCCAATATTTGCGATCCTCCAGTACATCTACAACTCCAGAGGAACAACTGTACTTGAAGTAAGTGTCGGATACAACCTGCAAATTTCGAGGTGCGCATTCTTTGCTGGCTTTGATGGGGTTCATCCTCAGAGAATAGAATTATCTATATTTAATTAATCTTGTCTCGTCGTTTATACAATATCTTCATTTTTCCTATCTACGACTTTTATATGGAGGATACTTGTTTGTTATTTTGATGTTGTTGTCACCGCTTTCCGAGCCATTTCAAAGTTGAGCGTAGACTTTTGGACTCATTTACAGAGACTGAAGTCGTTGCTTGTTCCAAATGAACACGCATTTAAAGAGGTTGAGGAGAAAGAGGGAATCTCACAGAAGAAGTTGTTAATTAAATGAAACCTTCCATCAGGTATAGTTTCTGGTTATTTCAATAATTTTTTCAATTGTGTTTTCTTTTTCTGCCTCACAAGAAGGCGGGGAAGGCCAAAATATCTAAGGTTTAGAATCTCTCTAACTCGCCTTACCGTACCACCCTACCCCCTTCCCCACTCCATATCCTTACACAACCCCCCTCACCTCCTTTTCCACCTCCCTCCACTAATTAGAACGTTTGGTTCACAATCAAAATTCGTTAAAATCTATGATCTTCTTGAGAATTTACGAGTAATAAGAACCCGATAAAAACGTCTTCGAACTTGATCGAGTGACCAGCGAAACAGCTCACTCAGTTACCTCAAATTTTTAAGGCTCCGCTACCTCTCTTGTTCGCAAAAGACCATATTAGTTTGAAAACAAACTAGAAGATAACATCAATCACTTAAAAATGTGTCACATTCAGGTACATAAAGACTTTCCAGTTTCCCTTACTTAGAAGCAAGACCATACAGCAATTCAAATTTTAAAAAATCTCATTTCAATTTCCAAAAAGACAAGTGATGAAGGCATTATAGAGAGGATGTGTTGCATTGGTCAGATGTTCAGTTGTCTGTCTGCCTGTTTCTACCTTTGTTTAAATTATGTATTAACTGTGCGTTTTTTGGTTCTAAAATGTTCCCTTTACGTTGGTTTCAGCCTGTATCCCCTATCCTGCATCATCTGACGTATTTGCAAAATGCACCTTATAAAAAAATTTGGAAAAGCTGTTTTAGTCAGGTCATCTTAGAATTTAGTAGTACAATTGCATCAGGTTACCTTCTCTGTAAATATTGCCTCGCACTTATAAAAGCTGTCAAAGCACTTAAATAGTTTCATGAAGGCTTAATATATAAATACGGTCGCAATTCCAGTACATGGTGTTGATAAGGACATTCGTGCAGGAATATAATATTAGAGATTTTTTAATAATTTTATTAATTAAAAGATAGGATTTCATTTTTGTTAGCAATTCTGGAGTGCCCTGAATTTCAAAATGAGTAATTAATCTTGCCTCTTGAGCTGTATCGGTTCTTTTCCTCGAAATAGATGAATATCATCAACTGATACTCTCTCAAGGGTTTACAATACGTTAAACTTCCTTAATTGCATGACGATTTTTTTTTGCCATAAAATGTAACTTACAGAAATGATAGTGTGAGAATTAGAGCTTGAAACGATTTAAACGGATTAGGAATGCTGTGCTTAACTTACTTTTTTCAAGAGGCCAAAAACTAAGAAGCACCTTAGGAAATGTATAGATAACAGTATGGATAATGTACCTACTGATGTTAGGATGTAAAGGGTTTAAATCTATTCTAGTGTTGACGTTTGGAACTGCTGTAGTTTTCTGTATTTTCATGAAATTTATAATTGGTGTGGGTGATGTTATTTGATGGTTCGTTAAATAAACCTTTGAAAAAAACAGTTTTGCATCTCTTGAACCATACTTTACCAATCCAACATCAAAAAGATAGATCTCACTGCGTGGGTGGGTGGATTTAAACGGTCAAGATTGAGACTCGTGTCATGCAAAGCTTTAGAACGCGGTATGTAACGTGTCCGAAACTGAAAACAGCTTGAGCGTCCTGATCAATCGTCATTCCTGTCCTTCCTCTCTCCATCAGAAAGCTCTTATCGAGCGACCGTGCAGCGACAGTTTTTCGACAGCAGAGACGGTCAGTAAACACAAAGAATAAACAAAATAAATAATCTTTGGAGAAATTCATGATAATCAAACATGCACGATAAGAATAAGATAAGAAAATAATAAGAAATAAGAAAATAAAAAAAGATGCCGGACTAGTGCATTCTCAGTGATCAATGTAAGCAGCATTTTCATTTAAAAGTGGGAGTCAGTGCCATCGTAAACAGCAAACGGTCAGCCCAAGGAGGGTAATCAGTCTTCAACCAGCATGTCTGTGGACAATAACGAGAGCATCGAGGCAGATTTCATTCTCTCCTCTTTGAAGTACTCCCTCTGGCCGGGCCAGAATATCATGGATAAGAGCATAAGGAATAGTAATGTCGTACACAAACGCGGACCTGTTGATTTTACTACAGTGAGCCCAGTTAGGGAAGATAAAAGTAGGCGTAATATCAGGTGCATTTCGTAATTTTTATGAGCGCGAGGGATGTTTTGAAAGTCTCCTGTAATTGCACAAGCCTTAGGCGAGTGTAATTTCACATAAAGACACAAATAATTCATGTATTTGTTGCATTACATTTTTCACAATTTGCATTCTTACGCGATCTTGTACGTCCTCGGCGCACATAACTTCAACACTTTCACAAGTTTGAAAAAGTCGCGATTTTTTTTTGGACACTTTTTGTTGTGTTGATTTTTTGTTTGTTTGTTTGTTTGTTTGTTAATTTTATTTCCAGAGAGAAAGTTTCGAGAGGGTGCAATATAAAAATTTCCTATTTCAAAGGCATTGACCAATCAAAAGCGAAATATTCTGTCTTGTATGTAATAAGCGACACGATAGAACATTTCCGTAGTCTGCCTTTTAAAAGTTTACAACAAACGAACTGCTGTGCATAACGTTATCGTAAGCTCAGAAAAGAGAGGCTTTAACCAAAATCAATTTCAGGTATCAAATGTGCGATTTGTCTATGACTACTTGGCGTAGCGGGTTGAGTCTCTCTTGCCACTTATTCATTTCGCTCGCACGTTACGGTACGTAGAGGATTGAAACAGGGATTGATTTATAATCGTAATGGGACTGGTGGAAGTCCAACTCGGTCTGTAATTATACGAGTGATTAACAAAATTGGGCGACTGCGAAGCGGGAGTTTGATTTGTCAATTACCAATATGATTACAGACAAAACTGGACGACACAAATTCCTGTAACCAACTAATCATAACCATTACAATTTCCGAAATAAAAATACATGGAGAACAAATATCTCCAGTGGAGACAAAGTTGAAAGTTAAAAATTCCTCCATTTCGGAAATTTCCCAGTTTTTCTTAGGATAAGGGGTTGTTGATATGTTTATTGTGATCGATTCTGTTATTGGTGTATTTAACTGAGTGGACTAAGTACGATTGGCTGCTTCACAGTGTTCGATTACAAGTGTCCGAATGCAGCCAACTGTTCGATCACAACTGTCCGATTACAACTCTACAAAAGTGAAAAAGATAGCAGTTAGCGCACCAACCACATCTGAGGAAACTGTCATGGTTATGATTGATAGCTTAATTCACGCGAAATATGACAAAACAGCCCACCAAAGACAATATCAGTTAACCCTCGACACCAACCCACGCTCACAAGAGTATTGATGGGGGAAGGGATGGTTGAGCTCTTTCTCAGAGTATTCCGTTGCATTTCCATTTTTTTGAAAACATTCACGATCAATGGTCATGTCGTTTTGCAACGACGAGTTGAGATAAACATTATGGGCTATTAAGCAATGCTTATCAAATACGAGCGTCTGGGGTCTTCTGAGGGCATTTGACGCTGTTGTGCAAGGCGAACTATGTTTTAACAAAATCAGTATTGGGTTTCTAAAATGAATTTTTTTGCCTCCTCTCTCTAGCAGTTGTAAAATGTCCGTAAAGACTACTTTAAAGATTTTACATTGACCGCCCAGCTGTGAATCAGACCCTCAAAGCTGAATGGAATAAAATTATCCAGTGAAACGATGATTACAATGTGATTTTCGGCTATTTATAATTTTTGTCATTGTAGTATAATGAACTGACTTATTGAAAATTTGTGGTAAGTCACGTAATTATAAATGAAACTTTCTCTGGCTCTTATTTTGCAAAGTTGATGCTCATGCTGACATCCAATTTAAGACTCAAAGAATAAGACTCAAAAATATGTGAAATAAGAAAATTACTAAATATTCTTTTCAATATTACAGGAAATTTGATCAATCTTTAATGTTATGGAGATTGTTGTTCAATCTATGATAAAGTTTGATTGAAAAAGTCTCCCTTCATCTTTTAAACCCTTAAGACAGACAAGACTCAGAAATCAAGGAAGTTGCGGTACCGATAGCTAATGGCTGAATAGTAATTAGCTTCGCAACGCGTCTTGCGTTCAACATGAATACATTTCTCGGTAATCAGTATCTAAGGTATCTAAGTTGAACATATTCGCTCTAGAAAAACATTTTCAAAAGAAGCTCTAAATAAGTTTTATAGGGTCAGGTTTAATCAAAACGGAAATTGCACAAGATATCTCGGTCAAGCTTATCTCTTGTAATAGCTTCAATTAAAAATAGAAAAACATACTTTGGTCCTAAAGATTGCACATGTAATTCGAGAATCATCTCAGACGGCTGAGGGGAAGACAGTCCAATATCAGTTTTTCCCCTGAAGCTTTTCGTCATCTATCTACCTTTAAAATGTGGCATGCTTTGGAACTATGTTAGATCTAGATAATAAAAGCCTAAGTAGCAATGCAAATCACTTGGATAGACAATCTGTATCACGGAAAAGCGAACCGAAACATTGAGAAGGTTAAAAGCTGCCGCAGTCAATCGATTACGTCACTTTCAAAGTCAACAACATTTATGAAGAAAGAGAATTCACTCAGTCAGCGGTCTGTACCGAAGATGAAAAAAAAACCTGCAGGATGTATTTTGATGTGTGAAGGGATTGAAGGATGTTACGAAGAAAGGTTTGTCAAATTAAAACAGAAGCTAAGCATGCATCGATATTTTCGTGACCCAGATCCCAACCGCATCCCAAAATAAGTCATCGGGAGTAAATTTTAGGAACTGAAAATTAACTGTGGGCTGCAGTTGGCCGATGGGGTTTCCGTTAAAATCTAACCTGGGAACATTCTCGGGGTGCGTTTTGACTCAGCTAAGGCAAGTCAGATCCAAAATTCACTGACCCAGCAATAAATTATGCCGAACAGACCGGATTTCTAGGTTGGGCAGAAGCCGGTAATGGCACAAACTGCTAGAAGCCGGTAATGGCCCAAACTGCTTACGTGAACTTGAATCACTGAGAATTATACAAACGTGGGATAAAAAAGAATTCGGAAATGAAACTTGTGAGATAATTTAATTTTATAGAAACTTCCCTCGCTGTCGAAAACATCCAACTTGGCAATGTGTCTACTGAAAGACGAGACCTCGAGGTCTATTCAATTAATGCAGGGGGTTTAATTTTCAGATCCAGTGGCAGTAATTAGCTCAATAGGATGTTGCTGTTAACATAAGTTTAGGAAGAATACGCATTTAGAATATGAAAAACATTCGTCAGAAGTTGGACGTGTTTATTTTCGTCTTTTCCTTCCTTGGAAGCTAATTTTCTCTGAGTTCCTGTTATTTTCAGCAATTCCATTAGATGGAAGTCATTGTTTTCATTCTCAGTCAGTTATACCTACGTGACTCATTGCTCTGAATCATTACTGATTCTAAAATGCGTAAAAATCAACTGGCGACGATTTCATAGAAAATTCTGCGATCTAAAACTCACAGTACTCTTGAAACAACTATATCATAATCCACTCATCAACACTCAGTTGGAAATCAGTGAAAACATCAGTTCAATGTTGGCAACAAGTTTTGGGTCAAATCATCCGATTAAAAGGTCACAAAAATATGGACAGGAACAAGCAGTGGATTTTTCAATTAAAAAATGGGTACGTACGTGTTTGTGCGAAACCAAGTCACAGATATCGCACTACTTAAAAGCATACATTGGCTGAAGCTAGCCAGTTTATTCTTCTTGAGCATCAACACACATCAGGTGTAAGTGCAGTTATGGCGAGCAAACACGACTCCGAACTTCTGAGTCCCTTGAACTCTTCAAGTGAAGAAACCAGGCCTGGTGCGGCTGTTGAAGAAGAAGATGGAAAGCGAGAGCAGTGGACAAGAAAACTTGATTTTCTCTTATCGTGCATCGGTTATGCTGTGGGACTCGGCAACTTATGGCGTTTCCCGTATCTCTGCTACATCAATGGAGGAGGTGAGATATCATTTGATAAAATACGTCTATATTTATATCGTGGTTTTAACCTTCTCGCTTTCAATAGGTATAAAGAAAAACTGGAGTAACCAGCATGGCTGTAAATTTCCTCGCAAAGTATTGATTTGCTCCGCCTTGTGTTTCGATTTCCTTTTTCAAAATCGCCAAAACACATCGTCATGACTGCTCTGCTAAATTACTACCGAATGGAAAGGAAAAAATTGTACCTAATCCAGAAAAATAAACATTACGGAGGTCAACGTATTAAAAAATAGATAGTAAATTTTGAGCTAATCTTTCCATTGAAGAAATATGTTGAACGATTTTTTTTTCACAATTGTGGGACAAGAAAATAAGTTCACTACAAGCTCAGGAAGATTCGAACCTCAAAATTTAGAATTTTACGGTTGAATCCTCTTCCGAATGTTGAACGGCTGTGGTTATTGTCTAGTCGTACTAATAGGATGAGAAATTTGGAAAGCCTCGTGTTTATAAATAAATTAAGAAAGATGGTGAATTTAGAGCCCGGTCCTCGGGCGAAGAAATCTCTTTATATTTGATACAAGCGTGAGAAGAAGACATTTTAGAGCACTTATCTTTAATTAGTAAAGTACTTCTCGTAAAAAATAGATTATTTGTTGATAGATTTAAAACAACAACAAGCGAACACACAACCCCAAAGATCTCGTGTTGCTAACGGCTTCATTTAAGGTTGGCTAGAGTACTAAACTAAATCGTTTTCGTTCAGTATGGTATATTTGATTGCCTAATATATTTTATAACGACCATGTAGTAATGATTCCGCATTCGCGACAACCGGTTACAACTTTAAAATGTGATTTCCATCTTACAAACGCGACATATACGACAGTGCCGCGGATAGACGCGTCCTTGAAATGGAAAATTACTGAATTCGACGATAGATTCAGAAGCTGAAATAACCTCTGGGTCAACAAAGTCGTTAAACGTGTTGATGCAAGACTAAGACTTTGTTTGGCATTCCTGAGATTCAAGCTTTTTAGCGATGAGTTTGCCTATTCAAAAGATTGTTATGTAACAGTGTACCGGCCCCAAGTGTCAACTCTCGTCCGGAGCTTAGGCAACCTCCGGCTTTAAAGGGGGTATCAATCGAATTATTTCATCGTCATGGGCTTTCTTTCAAGTGCTACTTTAATTTCCGTAATGTGTGCGAAATTGTTGTTAGTATTTTGCATTTGTTTGTCGCTCAACCTGTTGCTTTCAGCTGCGGATAAGATAAAGAGGCTTCATTTGAAAAAGCTACGAATAAACAGCACAACAGGCTCCTGAAACAGAAAGGTTCTCAGTCTTATACTGAAAAACTCACGGATACTTGTATCTACATGTTTTAAGGCTTTATTGACCCCGAGAACATTTTCCGAAAACTCCTCGAAGTAAGTAATTTTCCATCACACGGACACAAGGACAGGACAGGCCTAACCGTGTTTACATGTCAACAATTAGACAGTCACTATTTCTGCTCGGGGAAAATAAAGTGCCTGCATGGACATGGATACAAGAACTTACAAACAACTTACACGAGTCAGTCCTTGCTTACGTCAGGGTCCTAAAAAACGTCAACTGGTAATAAATCTAGAATTAAACGAGATAAATTTGAAATTTATGAAGCCGAACTGGAAAAGAAACTGGACATGTGAGTTCACGAATAAAGTCTGCTTTGATTGAATACTTTTCCACGATGAGAAACCAATCATTCTTTAGTTTGTTCCGATTTGCCCTTACTTCCCAACAGCACAATAGCTTTCATTGTCAATGTCTCCAGATGAGGTTTGAGTCTTAGACTTAACATTTAAAAAGCATAAAGGTTATTTCTTCCGATGCTGAAGCATGCTAATGTCAGGTACATATTTGTTTTCGATCCGCCTCTGCGCGAAGAACCATCTTCTTTTTTATCTGTGTTAATTCTGTCAACTCAAAGTTTAAATATTTTAACCTCAGCACGGAGTCATCATCAAAACCACTAATTGTTAAAAATTTTTCTACACAAATGTAATGGGAGACACTGAAGGCTAAGAAAACTCAGCAGATAAGCACACATATTATCAATATTTGTTAACTTCACAGCCTCCTTCCTGATTCCTTACTTGATTTGTTTGGTGTTCTGTGGAATTCCTATCTTCTACTTGGAAGTCGCTCTTGGTCAGTACGTTGGAAAAGGAATCGTCAAATCATGGGCGGCAATTTGTCCTTTGTTTGGAGGCATGTACTACAGTTCATTATTTATATTGTCAAGCATTAACCCTTTAACTCCTAAGAGTGACTGGCATTTCATTTCTCCTTCCAATATCACCTTGAATCAAATGTAAAGGTCACAAGAATAACGGAACTTATCATTAATTTAGGAAGCTCCTGATTGTCAAACAAATTCTCCTCGTCAATTCCAGAGGAAATGTAAGGAGAACAGAATGGAGAATATAAATACCAATGTTAGGATGTAAAAAAAACCTTCTAAGAGCAATTTGAAGGTGTTTTAGGACCTTATCAAAGTGCATACCATTAACTTGAGATAGGATTGAAAAAGGAGTCTCACTCACAAAAGTGGTAGGGACCTTCAAACCACGAGAAGGGTGGAGATAATAAAACTATTTTGGCCAATTTCATCAGTCTCACTGACAACACAGAAGCACAGCACAATACAGCACAGAAGAGTTCTTACCTTGATGGACAATGGCTCCAATTACCCAATATAAAACTAGTTGTTAAAGACAGTATTTTTGTGTAATTGCAGGGCTTGGGTATGCTATGTTAGTGATCACCTTCCTAATCAGCGTTTATTACAATGTCATCATCGCTTGGACTCTGTATTATTTGGTCGCGACTTTCCGAAAGACTCTGCCTTGGGGTGAATGTGGAAACGAGTGGAATTCTAACTACTGCAAGTAAGTTACTAGTATAATCAAAAATCAAGATGAATAGTATCATTGCTATAGGAGAGTGTATAGACAAATGTGATAAGAAGGATGTAAACATCTAACAGCATGATATATACAGAGTGACTGAGAATAACTCTCTGTCTAATATACCCTTAGATTACATCATTTAAGGCTGCAGCTACAGGCATGAAATAGCGCTATATCTAACTGACTTAGCGTCTCTGATGCCTTCAGTGGGCTTTAATACTTTGCGTATATTTCATTCTGATGTTTATTAATTCAATTTTTTTGCTTTATTTTTTTCTTTTTAAGGAAAGACCGGGTAATGGATGCAAGAGTGAACTGCACAGCCATTGGTCTTCCTGTCAACTGTACTGGAAGTTACATTTCTCCCGAGGAAGAATACTTCAAGTAAGAAATATGTCCACTGCGCAATTAAATTCATTGACTCTAAGTACGCGAACAATGAGTTTTCAAACAGCTTTGAAGAAAGCTTTTATAACCATTTTCACTCGAAAAACGTGGCAAAAGAGAAAAATACAGGAAAAGGGGAGAGAGGCGGAGTGGGGTAAAGTTCCTTTCATCTCTATCTTTGCCGGGGTTTAGAAAAATAATCATTGCTGACAAAATGAAAATAAGTCATTTCCCCAAACGCCAGTAAGTCACGACTTTAGGACCACTTACCGGAAAATCCATATACTTATGTTATGTTATTATTCATCAATACAGGATAGGGGATTTCGCCTTCTATGTTGGAAGAAAGTGATTTAAACTTTTAATTCAAGTTGTGACCGTCTTTATTGTTTTAGTAATCACGTCCTCAAGTTGTCTGATGGAATTGATCAGCCAGGAGAAGTACGTGGAGAACTGGCTGCCGCGTTACTTGTAGGTTGGATCGCTGTTTACTTCTGTGTGTGGAAAGGAGTGAAATCAGTTGGAAAGGTATTTCTGTTTATAATTTTAACCATTGTCATTCTCATGATAATGATAATAATTTACGTGGAGACCCCGGCTCTAAGAGTAATATATTCAAAGTTCTAAGTGTTGCTATAATGATATCAAAATCAATTATCGTGGAATCTACTTGATAGTATAATCTTTTTCAAAATGGCGTCTGATGATGAAAATCCTTATCTACGTAAAATCTACCCGGGAAATTCGCACCAGTAACCAAATGATCCGAATGAGAATTTTTTACTTGGTTATCTTGCAAAGTGTCATTCAACTAAGTTTTGTTTCATGTAAGAGATGATATGGTTGAGGTGAATTATTTACTTCAACCATGCAGTGGTCTGCCAATGAATAATTGTTGTCATTTCTGAGTCGATATTCGCTGCATTAACCTGGATCATCCAATTTGGATTATGATCTTGCTATGGGGGTTATTTATACTCATGCAAAACTTTTTTAACTTTGGTCACCAGTTTTAAGGTGGTTTATTCTCAAAAGCATAACGAAAGAACAGTTGTAACTACACTGAACACTTGTTGATGTTCCTGATACCGGAATTAACCCTTCACTCTAACAAAGAGCCAACACTCAAAAGGCCAGCCTTTGACACTCTTTACAGTGGCCAATTTACATTATCAACTCAGCTGATAAATAAAATCATCTTGATACATCCCCAATCGACAGAGCACCATGGTTCTTTAGAAGTTTACCCTCTTTGTTCCTGATACAGGTTGTGTACTTCACTGCGTTGTTTCCCTACTTCGTTTTGTTCATCCTTCTTGTGCGAGGTGCTACTTTGGAAGGAGCTGGCGATGGAGTCTTGTTCTATTTGAAGCCTGAGTTCTCCAGACTCTCGGATCCAAAGGTGAGAATTTGTGGTCATTGTCTGGAGTTATGAGGTTCCAGTTTACTAAGTAGATAGGCATTGCCTCATCTTATGCTCTGCTGTTCTCCGGGAAAAAATATGGAGTTTTCGAGCCGACAAAGACCACAACGGTAACGCCAGCCAAGACTAAAAACTATTACATTATATATACACCAAGAGATCGCTCTTGATATGCACGTATGTTGCATGTTTAGTGAAGGACAGGTTTGACATGTTAACAAAATTCCGCAAAATTATCCAAGCGTAAGATGCCCTAAGGAAGTGTTGTTCAGCCATTGTTTTGGACCATGCCTTTGCTAATACTTGACTAGTTTCTTTTATTGTATTGAGTAGTCGCCAAAACGCATTACGTGTTATACGAACCGTCTATTAACAGCGCCAATGCATTAGAAGAATATCACATCTGTTGTAATTTCCACAGGTGTGGGTGCAAGCCGCCGGTCAGATATTTTATTCACTCAGCATTGGCATGGGAGGACTTCTCACCTACAGCAGTTTTAACAAATTCAACAACAATTGTGAAAGGTAATAAAGACGTAGCCCTAAAAGCGAAAATGATTTCTAACCATAAGACTTACTCTGACCTCCATATACAAAAGACAAGAATAGGGAAAAAAAACTAGGCCAGGATCTCTCTTCCTTCCCTGTATATGGAGCAAAGTATTCCAAAATTTAATTCAATTTTCATATTTAATTCTTGGAGACCTAGAGCCTTACTCCTTTCGTGACCAAGAGCCCTGGAGGCCCTAAATTCCTCCAAGATTCTGATTTCATCCCCATGTAAGATTCAATCTCTAACTGAATTATCATCAATTACGAGTAAGAGCAAGACACTTCTGTCTGGTTGCTCCTGCTTTTTAACTAATTTTTAAAATAGTATCAAATTCAATTTTCAGGGACAGCGTGGTGGTATCACTTATCAACTGCTTCACCAGCTTTTTCGCGGGCTTTACCGTTTTCACTATGATGGGGTTCATGGCACACTTACTGAAAACTGAAGTTGGAAATGCAGTTAAAGGAGGTAATAGCCTTAAACTGCAGTATTTATCAAGTCAACCAGTTATCTTAGCTTGTCTTTGAAAGAAAGCGATAAAATCAAGTTTGTTTCTTTCCCAACATTTAGGGCGCCAATGGACTGGAAACTCCTTCTAAAACAAATGTATTTAATTCTCACCTGGAGATTTTTCCATGCCTACAACTTTACACTACTTTGTGTCCCTTATCTATCGAGAGACACTTCATTTATTAATATGTAAGAAACTGTAAATGATATTCAGTTATACAAGTTCAGGTGTGGTTTAAGTGAGTTTCTAATAAAGGCAATGACAATAATGGTTTCTATCCCTGCCTTTAGCCCCATGGTTCTATTATTTCAATGAGTAGCTGAGCTGTGCAAGCACAGGGTTGCATCCCCCTGTAGGTTGTATACTTTAGAGAAAGCCTACCTGGAACCTCCTGTCTACTGGTACTCTACACCTTTAAGTGAAAAGCGAGTAAAGTTTCAATATCATGTGAAATCTATTCGAAATGTGCTAAGCATATATATAAAAAAATATTTGTTTCATATTCAGGACCAGGTCTGGTGTTTATGGCGTTTCCTGAAGGAATTAAACAGCTTCCAGTGTCTCAACTCTGGGCATTTCTCTTTTTCTTTATGTTGTTTAATCTTGGACTTGACAGCCAGGTTAGTATGTATAACCAATTTGATCTAACTCTTCCCTAGCGCAGATCATTAGATTTCGCCTTCATATTATTTAGATTAAACTGATCACAGAGTCTCCTTGAAAGAGCATGACAAATGACATGAATTTTTCATTTTTCGCCTAACGAACGTCATCTCTTCCCTTTAAATAACTCTGGGCTAAATAATATTATTTATCAATCCTTCAATCCCCCAGATCTACCTGGTAACTCTCCCTTTCTGGGTTGATTATGTCTTTGTATTAATTTGGTGCCCCATCTCGTTAATACCCCTTTGCTGATAAGTTTTTTCTTTCTCATCATTTTTTCTCTGGATTTCACCCAGAGTAGTTACGTGTTTATTACTTCTGGGAGTTAAAAAGAGAGGGCAGAGCGAACGGAGAAGTTAGGTGATGCGCTAAAACAAATATAAGTGGAACTTGTGAGCAGGAAGTTCTGTCAAATTGAGGGCATTTCTATTGACTCTCATAAAACTAAAACCAAAGTAACAAAAAGCTCATCAGAACGAAGAAAAATATCACAAGGAGTTATGAAAACTCAAAGTCGAAAAAAAGCCAACTGGCTAGAGCGCGGTAAAGCGCGAGCACCAAAGTCGCTGTTGGTTTCAGTTTTGAATCTGAATGTTTGAGGAAGTGTGCCAGTTTCTGGATCAATGAAAACCAAGGTAAATCCTTATCACTTTCGACGCTCTGTCAATAATAACTTTTATAGCTTATAATTAATTGTCCGCAAACTGGGTGGAAGAATTTTAAGATAAGTGTTGATGACTTATCAGTGATACTTGTATTTCATTCCTTTTGAAGTTTGTTGGCGTAGAAACTTGTACCACGGTTATTCTGGACTGGTCACCACGCATGCGTAAATACAAGTCTCTTATTTCCCTTGGCTTCTGTATCATCTGTTACCTCCTTGGACTTGCACACGTTACGCAGGTAATCCTAACTAAAAAATTGCTATTTAGCTAATTTATTATAGCCATGAGCCTTTATAGGCAAATCACCGAGTTAACGTGGAAGTTGATCTGATTAACCGTTCCTGACCATAAACAGGTACACACAATGGAAAAACACCAGAAACTTTGAATAAATTTCAAACCTATAGAAGATACCGAGACACTCACTTCCATTTGCTCCAATTTTTTTTTTTTGGATACTTAATATTTCATTTGCGGCGAAAACTCAATGTAGGCATTTGTTATTAGCCTTTTTTCCAACCTGCCTCTTCATAGAAAGTGATGACACTTAATAACTTTCTCTGAGAAACATAAAATACTTTTTTCCTTCGTTTTAATCGATTACTGCCGTATATTCATCAATCCTTTTATTTTTTATCTTCTTGAAGGGTGGACTGTACGTGTTCGAGATGTTTGACATTCAGAGCGGAGGAATCTCATTGGTTCTTATTGCGCTTCTTGAAACTGTCGCTATTGGATGGGTGTATGGTGAGGAGAACAAACTTTACAACCTGCTCGATTACTTTAAAAGCTGATTGCTTCAGCTGAAAATGGGGTTAGGTTTGTCTTCCAGAGACAACTGTTTGAGATGTAGGCTGCTTCTACTGTTTAAAATGGACCACATTCTGTAACTAGAATTGTGCATTCAGATAGGAAAAGTTAGAGGCCAGTTCTTCATTTACTTGTTTTCATTATTTTGTAACAGGCACAGAAAAATTCTGCAAAAACATCGAAAGCATGGTGGGGCATCGACCAAACATCTATTTCAGGTGGTGCTGGAAGTTTATCTCACCTGTCATTATTCTGGTAAGGGAACGTTTCATAACCGCTGGCAAAATATCTAAGCTATTTCCGCCCGTGATACATAACTTCTCCAAGGGAATTTTATTAACCAGAAATTTAGAAAAAAAGAAAGAAAATATGCCACTATCACGGGTATAATGCAAGCTTTTAAAGAAACTAACGCATCTGAAGGGTAAAGTGAAGAGTTGTTTTTCAGAAGACCATCGTAAGTGTGGTATGTGAAAAATAATGCCAGTTTTCCTGCGAGCCCTTTATTTGAAAGACATAACTAATGTACTTCGGTTGTGATAGGTCAGTTTCATACCACACTCTATAAGATAATGTGGATCTCAACTCAGTGTTTAACCTAAAGCACTCAGTATGTTACACTTCTTCCCTGCCATCAGGTCATATTTGTCTGGCAGTGCGTGGAATGGTCTGGACTGTCACTTGGTGACTACAAATATCCCGTCTGGTCCGAATTTGTTGGGTGGGGACTTTGTCTCTCTTCTATTCTTTGTGTTCCCGGTTACGCCTTATACAGGCTACTGACTGATGACAAATCTCTCCCACTCAAAGAGGTAAGAAGATCCTCTAACTAATTTTTATCAATACTGTTATCAGAACGCTGTAAACCTTTTTCAGTGAACATTATCAAAACAGCGTTTTGCACAAGCAAAACCTCTAGTAGTTTAACTACCAATAAACAGTGCTGATACTCCTTAATTTTGACAACTGGAGTCAAGCGACCCGATGTGAACAACAGCAAAGAAAGTGTACAGTTAACTGCACCACCTCGCATCTCATGCAATATCAGCTGAAAACAGTATAGAACGAAATAGCGCAACCCATATTTTCTATTCTCTGTCGGAAAAAAAAAACAAATTCCCGTCTCATTTCAATGTAATCAACAGAGCCGCCTTTTTTTTATGCTGGTGAAGGGGATCAATTATACTTTCATTTTTATTTCAAATAAATGCTTCTTCCTTAGTGATTGGAGAGTTTCCACTGAACAGGAGTCTGCCTCTTGCTTTACAAAGTACAATTTTGATGAAGTTAAAAGAGGGTTAGCTCGATAGTAATCTGGTAATCGTAATTTACTGATATTCTTTTAGAAAAATTATCAGTGCTTTTCGATCATCAAACTTGGCGATCAATTTTCTTGTGTGTTTTTTAGAGATTTTTGAACTTGCTAAAGCCTGATGAAGCAACTATGCGGAGGATTGAACAACAAAATGGGATTCCCTCCAAAACCGAATTTGCGCTGGTAAGTTTACCAGAACTACAACTCAATTCTCAACTCTCACTAGAGACATGCTTATGAAATTAAATGGGTCATAAAAGATCAAAACTTGGTGAATATGTCCCACTATGAATGCTCTCTGTGTGTGCATACAGCAGTCGAGTCTGATGGAGTTTAAGAATAATTATTTTTCCTTGTCTTGGTTCCATGTACGTATGTCAATGTGTACTTGATCACCCACTCCGCCCAATGGGGCGTTTCAGGGCTAACGAATAAACGAGTTCGTGAACAAATGAATGATTAGACACATTGTTTGAAACTCCCAACTGGCAGGACGCATACCACTTGGCTATATGCAAGGCGCAGGCGCGTAGCAGGGTGAAGGAATAGAACCCAGCACCACTAAATTGCAAGCCCAGCGCTCTAACCTCTCGGCCGGACTTCACCCTTGTCTCCATCTCTAATAACTTACAATCACCAGTTGCTCACCTTGCTGAGAGTTATTGTAAAATCTCTATCGCACTTCAGGCTGACATACTTCCCAATCTTATTGCTATCGAATTTATTTCAAAATCCCCGAAATGTCTCCAACACATTGATCTTTTTATTGTTCCTTATTTGCAGATATAAAGGCGAAATCCCTGTTCTGCAACGAGGAGGAACTTCCATGTACAAAGCTACAATTAGAATAGAATTAAACAGCTTCGCATGAATTGACTCTTTGTTCAAGTGACACCACAACCAATTAAAAATTTAGATGAGTATAGTGCCATAAAGGTTACTAATTTGAAAAAAAAACCTATTCGACAAAAGTAAATTAGTCTTTTAAAGAGAGGTCAACGTTCACTTTTATATGGAAATAGGAAAAAGTTTTCAGGGATTTAAGCTTAACAGCCCTAAGATTTATGATACCATCTCAGTGTTAATTAAATAAGAGCACTTTTATTACGTGTAAACCCACAGTTGAAAATGAATCACGTTGTAGTGCGTAGTAAATGAGTTTTGAAGTTGTGGTATCACAAGATTCAGCATGATTTACTTCCTTTCGTTTAATTTACTGAAGGACAAAAATTCTCAAAACTAAGGCAATTCAAGATTTATTAGCACAAATGTGTTGTTCAAGTTCTTCCAGCCCTTAAACCCTTAGAGAGATCAACATCTAATTTCTCCCTACAATGTTACTCTGAATCAAACATTAAGGTCATGAGAATAACGGAAATGATCATCAAATAAAGAAGCTCTTGATTGTTAAACGAATTCTCCTTTTCAGTACCAAAGTAAATGTATAGAGAAGATTATGGAGAATGTGCATATTCATAATGATTTTAGGATGTAAAGGGGTAAATTTTGAAAGCTCGTCCCCATAACTCTCAAAATACACAACCGATGTTTTTTTTTTTTTTTTTTTTTTTTTTTTTTTTTTTTTTTTTTTTCAAATGAGCGACACTTTCAAACTTTATATTAGTAACGTAGAAGATTTCAGTTGGCACTTGTACGAAAAAGACGTGATCGCTCTTTTCCAAGATGTTTCTGTGCCAACTTTTTATTGTGCTCAATAGTCTATACGGTTCTCTGTGTTTCCGTGGTGTTTCTCTGCCAACTTTTTAATTGTGCTCAATAGTCTATACGGTTCTCTGTGTTTCCGAGATGTTTCTATGCCAACTAACAGTGCTCAATAGTCTACATGACTCTCTAGCGAATTTTTTACATTTTCACTGGCCAGTGTCAAAGTAGATATTCGGTTTAGTATGTAACGAGACAGTTGAATACCTTTTTCAACCAAAGCACATGGAAACTTCTTTATCAATATAACATTGAAAGTCCAACCTCGCTTCCGCCTACAGGTTCGAAATAGTTATTTCCGGGATTTTGAAAAGCATTAAATATTTGTATTTTGTTCCAGAGTCCGAGTTGATGAATTACCTGTTTGGGAGGGGAGGGGAGGGGTCGCTGTTTGTATGACGAGACAACGGACGAATGGTACAACTGAGCATCGCCAGTAATATTCTCGATTGGAAAACAGGAAGTTTGGTAATTTGAGAACAAAATGCTGTTTTCGCTTGCTACAGCTGTGTCTGGCTCGTGTATGCAGACACATTCAATAAAGCGTGATGCAATACAGGAAAATCAGACATAAAATTTTCTCTTTTTAATACTTATGGGAAGCCATGGGAATTAGTGACAGGTCTGGAATTTTTCGTTTTAATTATATTATGTTTCTATGATTAATCATTGTTCGTAGCTTTTGACCTCCGCGTTCTTATTGCGTACCAAACATACCAAATTAACAAAAGTCAAACCGCGTCTGAAACAAACGAATCACATAAAGAACGGGAACTGCCCAAAATGGCGGAGCCGCAAAGTGAAGCGGATCGAGAACTGCATCATGTTGCTGTCTCAAGCGAAATGCCGCTCACCGGGTCCGAGGAAAAGGGAGATGACAGTTGTCCAGGAGAAGGGCAGGATTTAGGGAGCAGGGAGATTTGGTCAAGAAAGCTAGATTTCTTATTGTCCTGTATAGGTTACGCCGTGGGTCTTGGCAATGTATGGCGATTTCCCTACCTATGTTATAAAGGTGGTGGAGGTATGTTTTTCTTTCGCTCGGTTGTGTTGTAAAACTTTCTATCCTTTGATATGGAGAAGGTCAGGCTATATGAAAAAAAAACTAACTCGATTGCTGAGAAAGCGACGACGCCAGCGCATTAAACTTATGGCGCAGAACTCACTTCAGAAGTTAGTACTTGAAAAATGAGTAAGTACAATTCATGCTTACTTTATCGTTAATTTCGTGTCACTTTCCATGCGTTCGGCGTACTGCTTTATCATGTTAGTGATAGAAATTACGCACTGTGCTCGTAGTGCAGTACAAATATCTCACCAAAACAAAGTATCAAGAGCCACATATGTCACCGCCTAAAAACACTAATCACAAGCGATATATGTATGATGTTCACGCATGAACCAAGCCTGCGTGGTCGACGTTCAGAAGGGGTAAAGAGGGCAGTGAATTCGAGTGTAAAAGTGCATTGTTGGGATCTACAAATATCGCATTCAGGGGCGGTTGCGATTGAATCCCGCTCTTTTCTTTGTTTCACGCCCGCTGCGTCGACGGTTTATAAAACCTTTTCTCGATCAAAAAATTACCTTTTAAGAAAACAAACACTACAAAGGTAAGTGGCTGCTTTAAGTGTATTAAACACTTTGCGAGTTTGGTTTAAAAGCAATTTAATTTGACCGTTACTGTTTTTCTATAGCGGAAACTTGCCAGACTTGCAAGAGGGTAGACAACCTTTTTAACCTTAGAGACGAATTGTGAATTATGCTCGGAAACCCGAGCTTGATTTGCACGATTTTCACTTCCGCTCGTTCTCTTAATCACTCTTAATCCGATTCATTTGGGTCGCATAAAAATGCAAAAACTGATTGTGATCGCTAAATGCAGTAAACAAGTCCAGAGGACCGCTAAATAACGTAGTTGATATCTATTAAAAGGAACCGGAAATTACTAGCGAGATCAATACATGACGTTTCGGCGACGACATATCACCATTATCAAATGTAAAATTATTATAAGTTCAGTGACGTTGTGTAAAGAAAGGAAAGTGTGAAACTAAATTAGAATAAGAATGAGGTGAAGTAAAATAAAACAACATTCAAAATTAAATGAACAGTTTCGCTGGAATGGAGTCTTTTTAAGTGTTCAGAGTCGCTCTTTTTCCTCGTGAAAAGCATCTCATAAATGAGGCACTCAAACTTTCCGCGACATTTCCTTAGGATGGCAAATTGCTCGAGAAGATTGTTCCGTGTTTGATTGTGTTCGTCCTGAAGATGTTTACCGATGACGGAATATTTGTGCTCCTCAGTGCGAAGGTGGAGGTGACGGTTCGTGTAGCCCTATATAATTCGCATCACAAGAATTACATAGTCAAACAAAACGCATTGTTGGTTTACCGGTGAGGGCTTTGTTTCCGTGACTTTTAAATCTTCCGAGATCCTCCTACTTGTGAAAACTAGTTGTAGTACACGGTCGATTTTCTTTCCAAAGTCCGGCTTAGCTGTCTGCTCACGGTGTCGGCGGATTTCTGGCCTTTGAAAGGCAAGATGATTCGTACCGGGCTGTCGATTAGCTCAATTCGGTTTTGATTCAACATGGCTCTGATAATGGCGTAGAAACCCTTTGTTGGTCTATTTTCTGTAGACACAGGTGCTGAGGATTGCTGCTTCCATTGTAAATTGGATTGCTGAGTGTGCATCATTCTGAAATGAAAAGAAATCAGTAGCAGCGGCAAGGTCGGGTACTAGAGCGAAGGTATTGTCGACGTATCTTCTGTAGAAATCGGGAAGCTTGTTTTCACGTGCAAGTTTCTCCTCAATGGAGCACATAAAGGTGTTAGCCATTAGTGGTCCTAATGGTGAGCCCATGGCAACGCCGTCTATTTGCTTGTACAAATCACCGTTAAACTGGAAGAGTTAGTCTATAGTTGCGATTGTAAGCAGCTTGTTAAGCTGAACCTCACAAATGTTAAGGTCGTGTGTGTTGTTAAGCCAGTTCCCATTGAGTGCTTTCTTCGCTAAAATCTGAATAGTTTCTTCAAGAGGTACGTTAGTGAAAAGGGCTGTGGCGACAGATATAAACGATCGCAAATGAGAACTATGTTGATCGCGCCGACCGCTTGTCATCCTCACCGGATCCTTTCTCAAAAGAATGTCAGGATCTGAAAACAATGTTTCTGAAACTGAAAATCCTGGGAAGCTTATTGATTCTATGTTCAAGAGATTCCACGCTTCCCAAGACCAGAACATTGAACACTCAAAAAGACTTCACTCCGGCTAAACTGCTCATTAAATTATGAAGATTCTTTTGTTATACGTCACCTCATTTTTATTCTAATTTAGTTTCACACTTTCCTTTTTTTACACAACATCACTTAACTTATAATAATTATACAGTTGATAATGGAGACATGTCGTCGCCGAAATGTCATGTTTTATCTCGTTACTTTTTATTATGAAATGTTAATCTTTCGTTATCAGAACCGGAAATTGTTGACCATTATTTGTAACATCCGTGGAATGTTTCCCGAACCGTTCAGCCTGGCTGGGCTCTGCCTCAGCGTTTTCTTTCGATTTCCACAGGGCGGAGTGCTACTATGCGAATCAAACATATTTCTTACCTTGCCTCTTTTAATAGAAAAATAGCAATAGTACGGTCAACAAAGGATGGTCGTTTGCGTGACTTCCGTGCCACACGGAAGTATGAAAGCGTGTTTCAGTCTGTGTTAGTGATATAAGTATATAGTTTCAAAACATTTTTAGATAGCGACGCCGTTGTTGTGGCTGGGTCACACTAGAAAGTGGCACGCTGCCAACCACCAACGTTGATCTCAAGATCATTTTCGTTTAACGATTCGTTGGCTGTAGTGTTGTTCTCAGCCAAATTTATATTTTGCCTACGAGAACTGAGTAGCAACCAGACGGCTTTGGAGACTACGGATAAACATTTCCTTAAGGAAACGGGAGAGGAGACTATTGGGGTATTGAGCTATGTAAATTGGGAGAGGGAAGCAACATTGTGCCACCCTCCTCCCCCCTCAGAAACTCAGTCAATGAAAATTTATGGATGACGAACACACTTAGAATCATAGACAATAAATACATGTGCCTGACATGTGCTGACTTGATAATCATTCAAATAGATGTATTTATATCACGAAACAGTCACCAATTTGCCTCTTAAATATTATCACCTGAACTGTACTACAAATAAAATGACGCTTATTTTGGAATTTTACTTTGGTTTTTCGTAAATTTTTTCGAGGAGTTCAACAACAGGGTGAATTTGCAAGGACGCCGCAGCGAAATCATGAATGATGCCTTTTTCTTCCAAGAAAGGGTGTAGAGATAACATCTTCACGGTATCTTGGACGAATGACAATGAAAAGTGATTAATGTGTGAAGTTTGGGTCTAAAGATCGTATTGTTTGAAACAGCCATGCGCCCCTTTTTGCAACTTTCCACGCTAGTGAAAGAAAGCGACTGGGTAAACCTATACAACCCTCTTGATCAAGTAGAATACAGTTTCTTTGTCATGATAACAATATTTTTCTTAACTTCGCTGCTGTGTTATGGCTATAATACGGAAAGGAGCCAATGTCTACAAACTTATCAGTGGTAAACCGGTTTAACTGGAATTAAATAGCCCTTTTGTAAACTAGAAGTTTCCTGTTTTGAACTCACGCCGCGTCGTGAGTGAGTATTTTCTTTCGCGATTGTAACATCATCGTAATAACTCCAACCAATCAGCAGCGAGGAACCTTTCCGTCTGGAGTTAGTCTTCATAATAAATGTTCACATTTCTCTCCGTTGAGCGCAAAAGTTAAAAAATTTCAAAGCTGTTTGACCCGGCAACCTCTGAATTTCTGAGAATTCATGCCCCTAAACATGTTTTCGAATGTTGTCTTCAGAAAAACTCTTTCAGGAGATTATTAAAATCTGATCAGAACGGTCAGACTCTAAACTGATCAGACTCGGAAATTCTGGAAATATTTCAACTCTGATCAAAAATCGTGTATTCCCTTCGAGAGGGAATACACGAGAGAGGCCTTTCACGATCCGAGTTGCAGTTGAATAACGAAAACCGGCAAATTTCATGATAACATGAATGGAATGTTTTTAATAATAACTTTACTATGCAGCCCTTTGTCTCGTGGTCAAAATAATTATGCAGTTTCCAAAGACCAGTGATCCGTAATATCGAGCACGCGGATATACCGCCCAGTCTGAGCAGTGTTAGAAGCAACGAGTTTAAGCGTTGAACGGCTTGCCATGGCGAACAAAGGGGTCGAGTTATACCCAGTTGGCTATGATAGCCGCGCAGGTTTGGCAGATTCCGAGATCAGGCAAAGTAAGGCAAGTTTGGGTAACAATGGAGAGCCAGAAGTTGAATACGTAGAAGAACGAGAGACTTGGGGGAGAAAGCTGGATTTTTTGCTTTCGTGCATCGGATACGCCGTCGGTCTAGGAAACGTTTGGCGCTTTCCTTATCTTTGTTACAACAACGGTGGAGGTAAATGACATTGTGTGTGTCGAGTCGTTCTACGTACTACGCCATTTAATACTACAAACAAGTTATGCATAATGAGCAACAGAAGTACTTCACGCCTTCTTGTTAACTTTTTATGGGTAGTGCATCGCTGAGCACTGAGTTTATGGAAAAAAATATCTCTTTTATTTCGAATAGAAAATTTTCTAGCAATCGGAAGCGTGCTAATTCCGTTCTGAAGTCGCCGGTACACAGAGCAAATCCAAGGAAGCGCGGGAACGTAGCGTGACCTAGTCGACAGCTCTCGAGAGTGAATCAATCAATTGAAGGAACCGTCATATAATCCGCCAGCTAAAGATATGAACGACTTGCCAGTGCCTTTTCAATTGCTTACTGTTCAGAAAATTCGATCTTACAGAGTTAAACGCAAAATGGAATTCTGTTTTAGGAAACCCAAGGCTTAGACGAACAACCTTAAATTTGCATAATTATTCAAACTCACATCTTTTTGTTTTAATCTGCTGTTCAAAGTCCTGTACAATTAGATATTGATCGACTAGTTCTTCCCTAAACGGATACATATGAAACCCTTTTTTTATATGAAATTAGACACGCTGATATTAAATTCTAAAGAGTAACCCGACATTGCAAAGTCCTTTCGGTCGTTCAACTGTGTATTGGCGCCACTATTATACTGAACGCGAACCATCGTCATCTTCTGCTCACGTGAATAATTTTAAGGAAGGATGAGTATCCAGTTTCATAAAAAGACTCTAACCTTATTCATACACATTTAGTTACTAGACTACTCACAGTTATCTTTGTCTCTACAACTGCACAACCGGCATAAGATTCGTAACATTATGCAATGGCCTTGAACTCGACTACTCGATGACATAACTTATCTGAACACTTCAAGTCTTAAAAAAAGATTTCCTGTTTACCAGCGTGAGGTAGTAAGGAAATCTCATTTCATTTTATTTCAATTGACAATGAAAAGTCGCAATGATATCGCGTTGTGAAATCGCTCATCGAACCGAAATTATTGAATAAAGCTCCTTTGTTCTTGAACAAGGCCTTACACAAAGACACTTAAATTTGTCATCAAACATATTCCTTTCGGAACAAACAAATATTTCAAAACGAAATGACGATTTCAGTTTATTTAAATGCTATAAATGTTTTCTAAAATGGCTGTGTCATGCAATTTTCTAAGCAACCAATACTTAGAATAGATGGAATGTGTATAGAATGTGTACAGAAAAGTATCCTGCAGAAATCCTGAAGTACAAAAGAGACAAGTCGAAAATAATTGAAACAAATCTTTCGTTGTTCTTTTGCTTCTCGTTGCAAATTTCTACAAATCTTGCAAATCTGTTTATCGCCTGCTATTCTCTGTTCTTCCGAGTGCTCGAATCGCACGTGGTTAATTACAACCAAGTGCTCAACAATACCGGTTTATAACTTAACTTAAGTGCGCCGTCGAATTTACATTTTGATACCTAGTTACCATATCATTATCCTAAGAATCAAATAACCATGACGTGGCGGATCAGTCAGTATCTGTCACCTGAGGGGGGAGGGGGAAGGATTCTAGGGGGTATCGGATGGTGATCACGGCGAACGGGAGTGGAGGAGGTCAGTAGTCATCAATAGAGTGTAAAAGGGGAACTATAGATACTTGATAATGTGGGGGTATTATTAATATTACAGAGCATTATAGGTAAGGAAAATTTGATCGTGGCACGGCAAAAATCATCCGTCCCCTTCCTCCCATAACGCCCTTCCCCCCCCCCCCCCCCCCCCCCCCCCCCCCCCCCCCCCCCCCCCGCCGCGCCCTGCGGCGATAAATATCTACAGGTTCCTAAATCTTCCCAAGAACCGAGCCTCACGCCGTTAAGTATGGTCATTCATTTATCACGAGCGCTGCATAAGGAAAAAGCTGATTTTCTCATGATAATTTAAAATCTGAAGCTCCGAGGGAATCTTCCGAGAGAAATCAGACGCCATCGTTATCGGACACTCGAGAATGTTAAGAACATATTTCTAATTCTTAGTATTTTGTTTATTAACGGCAGCTGGGAGTAACGAAGCGTAATCAATTTCAGCTTTCCCTATTAATTTTTGCTTTTAAAATTTTTGCTCGCAGTTTCACTTGTTTGTAAATTAATAAAAATCTGATGGGCCATAATGTAACTGTTTAAAAGAATAAGGTTAAAGCTTAAGATATTTTTTTTTCACAACTTTTAACTCGATGAATTTCTCTTTTTTGGCTTGTTCAGCTTCCTTCCTGATTCCTTACGTGATTTTCTTGGTGTTTTGTGGAATTCCCATTTTCTACCTGGAGGTCGCCCTCGGTCAGTATACCCAACAAGGCGTGGTCGGTGCCTGGGCAGCCTATGTTCCCTTCTTGGGAGGTGAGATTTATACTGCTTGTTTTGCTTCATTAATCGTGGAGTGTATAAAGAATATTAATATGGTTGAAATAGTAAAAGTCAATACATACTCTGCGATGACACAAGTTATGGACGTTGACTTACAGATGTTTTTCTCATATCCAATTCCAAATATAAAATATTGAACGCCAACTGTGTTGTAACGGTCTTAATTTCTGAAGCCGCTTTAACACAGCTAAAACGAAGGGAACAGAGAAGGAATATGTATCGTAAATGGCTGATTACACATGGAAATTTCACCAACAGTTGTGCCTTTCTAATGGAGACTTGTTCAATTCGTGTTCTTCCCAGAAAATGAAACGTTGTCTGCGAACCTTATTGAGGGAGTGTTTAAAGTCATTTTTAAAAGGGGGTTACACACTATATCTTACTTTTGTTTAATCCTTATAAATTTCATGTACAATTCCTAATTTTGTTTAGCCTCTTTCAGGCTCACGGTTAATTGACGACTGCGACCGTCATTTTTCGCTTGTTCGCTCCTTCGCTCGTCTACTCTGAAGGAGAGCTAGGAATTGGCTAAGTGTGGTGAATTCTTAAACATCCGAGTAAAAACAAGAAAATAATGAGAAAATTATAACTTCAAGTTTTCCTTTTGTGTAAAGGTTAACTTTCCTGTGTCCCAAAAACGACGTAAATTATCATGACATCTTTCCCTAAAATGTGCGTGATCTTACTACAGGTATAGGCCTTGGCATGGTTATCATCACCTTTTTGTGCAGCGTGTATTACAATGTCATCTTGGCGTGGACATTTTACTACCTGTTTGCATCATTCCAAAAGCATCTACCGTGGGAAAATTGTGGAAATAAATGGAACACTGGCTTGTGTCAGTAAGTGAAATCTGTATTTACACTTTCTTTTGCATGCACGTGGGCCCAAATCTCTACACAAACAATTCAGTACGGTGATGTTGCATTCATAGACATATAATCTATCCAATAAATCTATTGAACAGGGAAGTAACATCTTTTATGCTCGGTTACTCTCCACCTTTTCTTTCATTCTATCTGTGGAGTAAAACTTTAGGCAAGATCAAAAAGAGGACTCAGAGTTCCTTTTTTTGCATATGTCATTTGTGGAGCGCCAACGAATTCTACATAATGATCGTCACAATAACTACATACAGTGAACGAAGTCTTTATGTATAAAATTATTAATTCATGCACTTAATATCTTATTTAAGGACAAACCGCTCAGCTTCCTGTGATAAAGACGATTGTGGGTGGGTCTCCCCAGAAGAAGAATATTTTAAGTAAGTATCATTACCTGAATCAGCTTTATCCAAAGACGAAGCTTACACGTTTGCCATAAGTTTGAATCAACAAGCATCAAACGGTTCTATAACTAAACACATCCGTACACCAAGTGATGTTTAACATTACTCTAAAGTCTGAGTGCAAGGTAATTTTTCAGCCAGATGCCAGAAACAAGTCAGTCTTAACTCTTTCCACCCTAACATCGATATGCCTTTTCTTCAAACTGTTCTCTATGTATTTCCTGAGGTGCCCACAAGGAGAACTTGCTTAAAAATAAAGAGCTTCCTTAGTTTGTGATTCAGGGGTGCATAAGGCTAATAGCCATACAGTTTACAAAATAATTTAGATTGTTCTCTCCCATTATTAATACATGGCTTGTGATATTTGTCTTTAGCATATTGTAAACATCTCACGGATCGTTGAATTATTGATTCAAGGAACAGAAAATCAGTTGATCTGTCGATCGAGGTTGAAGGAGAAATGTTTCCCACGAGGGTAGCCCCTCACTAAAACTAAATGATGTGGTACTACAAACTAAGCTTTATCTTAATAAATTGCGAATTTGCGTCAATTTTTCTTTAAGCGTAAAAGTCCTTCAACTAAGTGAAGGTATCCATGCTGCTGGTGAAGTGAGGTTTGAACTCGCCATGTGTCTTCTCCTGGGATGGATCGTTGTTTACTTCTGTGTCTGGAAGGGAATAAAGTCTGCTGGAAAGGTGTCTGTTTGAATCTTTTAATCCTGTTTGTTAAGTGACTTCGTCTCAGGACTTTCTCTCGTATCATAACATGTCAAGGAGTGTTGCTGAATCAAATTGTTACTCCTCATTCTAGGCGAAGGGAAAATGTGGCTTTTAAGTGCCAGTGAGGATTAAAAATACATTGCAAGACAACTGGGAAAACGAATTGCAGTTTTTATTAGCTCTGCATTTGATTAGTTAAACAGAGGGCCCACATTTCGGAACCAACCAAGAGCGTGGAGAAGCAGACCCGATGTAATCGCAGTTGAAATCACCCACCAATTAGAACTCAAGTATCTGTCTGTTTCCTTTCCTCCAGGTTGTTTATTTCACAGCCACGTTTCCATATGTGGTTTTGTTTATTCTGCTTATTCGCGGAGCCACCTTGGAAGGTGCAGCCAAGGGGGTTGAATTCTATCTGAAACCCAACATGACAAGACTGAGCGATCCGCAGGTAATGTGACATGTCGTGAATGTGGAACTTTTTTTCACAGGACCCTTACTAGCGTCAAGTAGTATCTGTCTTATACAATGTAAGGTTTCACAAAATCGGTCTAAATTTTTTTTGGTCAGTTACAGCGTTAGCCATACACACGCATGATAAAGGAAGATTTTTTAAAACTAAATTCGATTGCGAGTATTGTTAAAGACAAAGAGGGAGCCTTTGTCTTATTTGATTTTGTAATTCAATGTCGCTTCAACATTCCATATTAACAAATCTGGCCCTGCATATTGCGTTTAAGAACTGGACATCAGCAATATAATAAAATCTATAATAGAAATTCTTGAATCGTCCGCCTCATAAACATTTTCATTTAGGTCAAGGAAAGCATAAATTTTTGTGTCCTCATCGTCTGAAAACAGGTTCATTTTCAAAGACAATATAGGAAGACCAGATAGGCACTTGAGCTGGTGTTGGTGGTGTTCAGGTTTCACCAGAATTCAATCAGACACCTGTTCTTAAGATCGGTGTTTGAGCTACACTTTCTGATCAGTTACATGGTTATTGTCAAAGGTGTGGGTGTCGGCCGCTGGTCAGATCTTCTTCTCATTGAGTGTTGGATTTGGCGGGCTCATAACATATGGCAGCTACAACAAATTTAAGAACAACTGTGAGAAGTAAGTGAACCACATGTCCTGTCCAGTTTCGTTCCACATTTTAACTGTCTTCAGTCTGTATTGCTTAAAACATTGTTCGCCTTGTAAGGAAATCTAGAGGGAGATCAACTCTTTACT